TGAAGATGATATTCAAGGACTATAATCCAGTGAAATAAATTTGGAAAGAGAAAAAAGAAAGGGACATGAAGAATTCAGAAGATTATAATTTGGGAGAACACAAAGAATAGATGCACCTGAGCCATGTCATTCAAGGTCTCTAACCATCGGTTGCTTTTATCTCGCGGTCCCCAACCAGGTAGTCTACACCTACCAACATGACTCAGTCCACTTGTCAGTGACTTAATGAACTTGTGCCATGTTTTGGTCTGGCCGCCCTTAGCTTTTTTCCAACCTACTCCTATACCACTGAACATAGCACGTCGAGGTAGTCGGTCGTTGGGCATACGTAACATGTGTCCAAGCCATCTCAACTGATGAAGTTTCACTACGTCATCAATTGATTTGCCATCCTTACCTAGTACCTGTTTCCTAACAACTGTGTTACTTACTCGATGGTCCCAGGATATACGAGCAATGTTTTGAAGACACCTTTGATCGAATACCAGTAGCCTATGAATATCCTCTACTCTTACCGGCCATGTTTCACTGCCATAAAGTAGGACGGAACGAACTGCTGCACAGTAAACGTGTCCTTTGGTTGATAGACGGATATCTCGCCTACGCCATAAATGACGCAAGTTGGTAAAAGCTAGTCGAGCCTTCTGTATCCGTGCTGAGATTTCGTCACACACCAGACCACAAGGGCTGATGAGACTTACAAGATAAGTGAAGCGATCGACACACTCAACTACTTCACTCCCTATCACTAGTTCGGGTGTCGATGTAACTCAATCCTGAAGCAACATTTTGTATTTCGAAGGAGAGAATCGCATCCCGAACATGCTTGCATTGTTGCTTAGAGTGGTCAGAAGACTCTGCATTTTGTGAGCGTCTTCGCCAAATAAATCTATGTCATCAGTATATTTTAAGTCAACAAGTGAACCTCCCGGTAGAAGTTCAACCCCTGGAAATTTAGATGAGGAAAGTGTTATCTCTGAAAGCACGTCAACGACAAAGTTGAACAAGAATGGAGAGAGTGGACAGCCCTGACGAACACCACTTGAGGAAACCAAATCTGATGACAGTTCGCCATAAGCTCTCACTCGACCAGTTGTGTTCGAGTAGAGAGCCTTTATAAGGTTAATGTACTTCTTTGTTACTCCTTTCAATGAAAAACACTGCCATAAAACCTCACGATCAACAGAGTCAAATGCCGCTTCAAGGTCGAGAAATACTGCGATTGTGGGGCGTCTGAATGTGTGTCTGTGTTCTAGCACCTGACGTAGTGTGAATAAATGGTCTATATAACCACGTCCAGGTCGAAGACCGGCCTGGTTTTCTCTAATCTGCTCTTCACGAGCTTTGGTTAGGCGTCGAAGTATTAATGAAGCTAATATTTTAAACACTATATTAGTCAAACTGATTCCTCTGTGATTGTCACAAGAGGACTTTTGTCCTTTCTTATAGACTGGCACAATCAGTGACTGAGACCAGTCACATGGGATTACGTCCAGTTCCCAAATTCTACCTAAGACCTCGATTAATCTCACTGCTAATACGGAACCACCCTCCTTAAAAATCTCAGGAGTAAACCTGTCAGGGCCTGCTGCTCTCCCTCGTTTCAGATTTCCTATGGCTTTTTCAACTTCGTAAAAGGACGGAGGACTTACATTAACTTGCCATTCAGGTTGACTAGAGATCGTGGGAAACCGAAGTGTGGCTGAAGGCCAGTTGAACTGATCCCTAAAGTGTTCTGCCCAACGATTCAATCTCCTGGATTGAGAATGTATAATATGTCCATCTTTCTCTGAGATTGTTTCGCTAACGGTCGGGTTCCTAATGCCGGTTTCATTAGCAAGTCTGAACAGTTGTCTGCTATTACCTATTGCCGCTGCCTTTTCCATCTCTCTTGCTTTCGCTACCCACCACTGTTCACGATCATTGGGTAGACTTCTTGTCAGCTTGCGCTTAAGTTGACTCCGCTCTTCATTATGTTCAGAGCCAGATGGAATGAGTTTTCGGGCATCTATCAGTGAGATAGATGCTGCTGAGATCCAGTGTTTCTCCCTAACCTTACGGGTTACCTTACTGGCAGATATCACTGCTGTTTCCACAGGTTTTCGGATATCATTCCATGCTGCATCGGGGTGGGCATCACATACATGGCTACCTAACTGTTTTCTTAGTTGTTCCTGAAAAAAACTCTTAGCTTGACTATCATTAAGTAGAGCCCTAAGAGGTTTCTTTGCAGCGTCTTTCCTACGTCCAGTAAGACGCAGGCAAATACGCGCTCGTACTAGAGCATGATCTGAATCTAAGCAGACTAATAAAAGAAACTGGAATTAAGAAGCCAAGTGTAAGTGAGACGACACTTATCTGCTTTCAGTCCCGACTTTTAGAACGATGGGCGAAACACTGAGGAGCAGTTGAGCTACTCTGCATCTACCCACTATTTTCAAACAGCCGGAATGTAACATTGAAATAGATTCCCAACTCTAATTGAAGACGAAAAAGTAATAGCTAATCTGAAACGAGGGGCAGCTAGTCCAGATGAATTAACTCCGGAAATCTTTAAGCATAGTAGTCGTTTTAACGGTTAGGTTGTGGTATTTTAGTTAAAATCTGGGAGATGGACGTAATCACATCTCACTAGTTGTCTCAATATATAAAAAGGGGTCAAAATCATCCTATGACAACCATAGAGGGATTAGTTTGACTAACATACCATCTAAAATACTAGCCTCAATAATTATCGGGCGCCTAACTAAGACTGATGAACTGCAAACACGAAAAAACCAGGCTGGCTTTAGATCTGGTCGTGGCTGCATCGACTACATGTTCAACATTCGTCAGATCTTAGAACACAGGCATGCTTATGGACGTCCGACAATGATAGTTTTTCTCGAGTAGAGGCAGCATTTGACTGTGTAGATCAAAAGGTTCTGTGGCAGTGTCTCAGAAATACATCAATCTTGTGAAGGATCTTTACTCGAACACTAGCAGTCGAGTCAGAACTTATGGCGAACTGTCATCTGATTTTGCAACCTCAAGTAGTGTGCGACAAGGCTGTTCACTACCTCTATTTTTGTTTAGTTTCATCAGACCTACTGCTGGAAATAACGTTCTCGCCGTCAGAATAATCGATGACAAACCTGTTTGGTGAAGACGCTGATAGAATGCAGTCTTTGGTAGCATTGAACAACAATACCAAGATGTTTGGAATTCATTTCTTCCCCCCTTTGAATGCAAATTGTTGCATTAATACTGGCCTGCATCAACACCTGAACTAAGAATAGGGAGTGAAGTAGTCGAACGCGTCGAAAACCTGACGTATCTTGAAGGTCTGATCAACCTTAATTGGTTGGTGTCTGACTAAATCTCTGCACGGATTCAAAAAGCTCGTTTGGCTTTTGCTAGCTTACGTTACCGATGGCGAAGTAGAAATATCCTTCTATCAATAAAAGTACGCAGTTTATTCTGTTCTACATTACGGCTGCAAAAAGTGGCAATTAAGGGTAGAGGATACTCGTAATTTGCTAGCACTTGATCACATATATCTTAGAAATATTGCCAGACGAAAGGTGTTAGTGATTGATGATAAAACAGTTGATGATGTTGTGGATATTCATCGACTGAGATACTTGAACCACTAATTACTTCTCCTTAAATCATATCCTTATATGCAATCTTTTTTTTCTATATATTATTACCATTGAAGTAACTGCTTCTATGAATTGGGTGTTCATCTTGTTGTGCTAATCAGGTATGACAACTTGGACCGATGCATATATGTTCCTGGTCCTGCGTTGTATATGACTGACTGACTGATCAACAACTGATGGTGTCATATAGATACAGTTTTGAATCACACAAACCAGTCTGTCAATTAAAAGAAAACTGAAAAGTAAACATTGACGCATTCAATAATAAATAAATATTATGATCTTTTTTTCTAGGTTGCTTCATCTGTTCAAGTAAATTAGCAAAAAGCAATAATTTTAATAATAACAAAGATAAATAGGAAGTCGACAGCTGTGAGTAGGTAATTATTTCTAAAAACAGTGGTTTTCATCACTTGTGCGTGAGTGTAATCAATTATCAATAAATGAATAAGGAAAATGAATCTTTTTCAGAGGAAAGACTAGGTTAAAATAATAGTTAAAGAAATACTAAGAACATAAATATAAACAAAATAACCTGAAAGCAAAACGACAAAGCCAAGTGTCAATAATGGTGCTATTGTTACTGTGTGTACGTGTGTCCAGGACAGAGTTCTATGGAGAATGCTGGTGGGTGATTTATGATCCTTCACAAGGGGTAACAGGCGTAAGTGCATGTATCGATTTCTTGTGTCCATCAAGATGAAAATGTTAAACACATGAGTGAAAGAGGAATAAAACTGACAAGATAAATCATGAGTAAAGTTGTCTTAGAGATCACGATTTGATGGAAAGAAGTTATACAGAAACGACAGAGTCGAAATACGTTTAAGTAAATTCAGGATGAAGAGAAACTAAAAATGAAAAAAAAACGGCTGGCAAAAGGCAAGCAAACATAATCAAAAATATAGCTGTCATAACTAGTTGAAATAATATTATATTTCTATCATTGTTATTATTATTGTCTCGAGAGAAAAGAAAATTAATTTTATCACCTGTGAGCAAATTGTTGGAAAATAGAGGAAAAGTAAATAAATGAATAAAAATCATCTTTGTAACAATTGCATAACATGTATATCAAAATGAATGAAAATTAAATAAGTTTAAAGCAATGTCAAACAATGTCAATACAACACACAAATAGCGATAACATAAACAACATTGAACTAAGTATAAACATTACTATCATTTAAACAATAGATGAATTATTTGATAAACGTTGTTGATGATTATCATAGGATTCAATTAAATGCTCTTCAAAACAAATAAATCTTGAAGGTGAATTTACATGATGTGAATTGATTAAAGGGATATAAGCAGTGTTGTTGAATGAAGATAACCGGGTAGCGGATCGATGTCTTATGCATCCGGAAATCTACAGAATAGTAGTAAGCAACAAAAAAGACAGAATATTTAATGAATAGTATTATGGCAAAACATAAGATAGAAACGTATATAAACTGAATAGACAACAGATATGATGATGTGATGATAGTTGTCATTACAGATTGAAGTAAAATGGAGAGAAAAACAAATGGGAAAACCAAATCTCAATGGTAAACACTATTAAATAATATTTAAATTCAATCCATCTTCATGAACAACAGGAAAAGAAATGAATTATTCAAAGTTTTGTCGAATTCTGACTTGAATAGCGGGAAAAGAATTAAATTTGACAACTAACAATATAACAGGGAGTCTGATTTTTTACTAAAAACAAGCGTGTAATTGAGAGTTGTTCTTTTAGTACAGAATAACAATTTAAATGTAACAACTTAAATCACAATATATGTTTCCCCAGTTTCACCTTATGCCTAAATTATTTTAGTAATCTTTTTCAACTTATGCGATCGATTTGTTTAGTGAAATCACACCACTTACATTTTTAATACGACAACTGTGATACCATTGAACAATAAAGGATTGTTAATAAAATAAAATAAACATACTTTAACAATTTACGACAAAACATAGTATAGACAACATTATGACCAAGAAAACACGACAGAGGAATTACAATAATAATACGACGATACTACATTACCGTTACTATTTAAGTCATTGGTAAATAACTATCATTACTTACTGAGACAATAGGTTTTCGGAGACGAACACTAGATGGGTGGTGTTAAGTGAAGGAAGGAGAGGATACACTTAGAAGGTGAAATAAACACAAAGACTAAAATGAAATGAAAAAATTGTAACCTGTTGATTATTCACATAAACTGCTGATTAAAACGTCGGAAGTGAGAAAGAAGACTGAATGAAGCTATGTTGCAGGCTAATACTGAGGACCACCGTCTTCCCATCTTGATGGTATTAACTAACTAACATTTTATCACATTTTCCCATATCGACAGTAAGCTTATTTCATTTGCATACACAGTAAGCACTGTATACAGTATCGTTTAAATCATCAACCGACCAAAATTAAACTAGGAAGTACTGGACGACCGATTCGTCTTAGTATGGGACTCCCCATCAGTGCTCACTCACTACCCTGACAATGAGAATCAAACCCAAGACATTCAGCCCCATGTACAGACGCTTAATCTTTAAACTATTCAACCGGCATTCAATTGTGTTTATAAAGTAACTTTAGTGGTATTTAACATGATATAAGCAAAAAGACAAACTGTTTAGTATTCTAGTAAACTAAATGTTCACAAAAAAGATTAATCTATCACACTAACTGATCTTACCCGATATTTACTTCACCACCTGTGTTATTATTCGCCTTTGGTTTTCGTGTACATACTGACCTAGAAGAAAATGAAGAATATTATCCACAATGTATAACTGTAATGTGCGTTTACATGGAGGGAAAAATTGTTGCCATATGTATGTAATTATACTAATACAGATAAAAATCTATTTGAAATATTTCAATGAGTAGGAAACTGAATTTTTTACATTTCGTGAATTGTTGTAAATCAGCTTTTCAACAGAATAAATAAATATCAGTATAGAAGTTTACGGAGATTGCTGAATATTATTGAGAGCAGGAATCGACACAAGTTCGACAACCAATGCAAACCAGGAAGGACTGGATAGGTGTTTGATCCTAATGTGAGACTCCTCAGTCGTGCCCACTTACTAACCGACCGGACATAAAACTTAGGACGTCTACGTCTCGTAGCGAACGCCTAACGTTTAGGTCACTGAGTCAGCGACCAATGGTTTGCGTGTTTACCGTCAATCAATTAATGACATTGGCTCAACCATTTTCCATTTTCGGTGAGGCAGTCGCATAGTAGGGATCCACTGCTTCCTAGTTTTCATTAACTGATTTCAGATCACAATGAACAACCGAATTAAAATTAATTTTAACTAGCATGGAGGAACAAAAAAGGTATTATGTACTATGCGAACAAAGTTGATCATGCTGATGTTACATCATTCAGGCCAAAGGTGAGACAATTTTTGTTTTTATCGATGCATATCTAGGTGGGTATGAAAAATGTAAAATTCGTAATGTGAAGATGTAGAGCTGATTTGTGTGTGTTAACAGGTGTGTCTAATTTGACTGTTTGGATAAGTACTTGAAGTTAGGTGGATATTTAGGCTTTCCTTTTGATTGGATGCAGTAGTGTTCAGCAATATACAAAACGCTTTAGCCATTCGTATTTTTCGATGGTTGAAAAAAACTTGATTATTTGAATATAGACATGATGGTGGCTGACATCGGTTTGAAATTGTGTTGTCGTCTTAAATGCATAATTTAATTATGTAAAAAGGTTAATAATCAAAGTAATTCCTACTAAGATTTGAAAGACTTGGGGTTTAATCCCGTGTAAAACAACTGTTCATTCGACTTTAATTTGTCAACAGCTTTTCATCTAAGTTCAGTCCCTAATCAAAACAATTTTCAGATTACACGTTGTTACTACATATTCCAATAAACAGTAGTGAGCCGGTGGTTAACACTAGGATTTTTACTGTTCATTCCATGTCATTCAACACCATAAAAAGGTTCGGATGATGAGCTATATCAGTTAATTAGTTAGGCCTCTACAATGTACAACCTGAAATCTATGTCCACAGCAGTTCAAGTTGCCATACCAAGTTAGCACAGAGAAAATAAATTATTTCAAGACGTATCTTAGAATAGCAGAAACGTTTAGTGGAAAAACGTTTCAAGGAAACTTCGAGACTGGAGTTCTGAAGAAAGTCAAAGAGTGAGTGTATTTACGCAAGTTCGAACGATTCTGAGCCACTTCATTCAAAGAGTCTATTCACTGGTTATGATAGCCGTGCGGTTTCTAACCAGCTAGATTTGTTAAAATAAACATAAGACTGCATTAACTAAAAATAAAACAAGACACTTGAATATTGATACTAAACACAAACCTGTATCGTGGATTATTACATTGACTTGATCTAGGTTTTCTAAGTTTAGGACCAGCTGAAACTCCCGCGCTATTACCATTCTTCTTTCGATTTACATACCAACGATATCGATTTTGAATTAAAAGTGCAGCTTGACATAATCGTTTATAATATGCATACTAATGAAACAGAAAAAAAAGTTGAATGCTACAATTAATCATATACACAAACACGTATTAATCTTTGTAGACACCGAGCACTCAGTAGCTCTTCTCGATGAACTCAAATATTCATTAAGTTACCGATTTGTGTTATTATTAGAGTTCCACAGGTCAGTCATAATTCAAATAGCCAATAGCTAAAATCTCTGACTGCGGTGCTATGTGGAACTGGTTTGAATTTCTAGTGATCAGTTTTCAGAAGATCGTAGATACATCAATCAGTCCGAAACCTAGATCAAGGACTTTTTCCCAATTTCCTTCAGCCACATTATACTAAGAAAAATTCATCTTAATGTTAGTCAAGTTAAGTAGCTTAATTGTCATAATATAAATCTGATGAATTTTTTCTAAAATGAGTTCAAAAAAGACAAGAAACAAGAGAAATTGTCGTGTCACATTAATTTTTCTAAAGCAAAATTAACGAACATTGTGAAGTAAGGTGAATTCATTTCTATTTGTCTGTAAATCAAATGACGCGAAATAGAAGATGGCACAAACATGCTATAGCATTCATAAAGAATAATTTCTAACAAATATTCAATAATAATTGTCTCATGGAAAGTTTCTATTAAATAAGTCAATACGTTACTGGTTACAATGGAAAGTAAATAAACGACAGATAAATATACTAAGTACCTGTTTATAACGTCTATAATAACTTTGAATAATAATTGCAGCCTCAATTTCTTTATTACATGGCCCATTGGATGATGAATTCATTGATGGTTGTGGTGAATTCAATGATTGTATTGAAGTTGAGATACAATTGGAAAAGTTAGTTGTTGTTTTCAAACAACAATTGGAATTTGTTTCTCCAGGTAAAGACAATTGACCAGACTGAATAGACTGAACTTGATATGAATTATCATTATCATTGGTTATTGTATTATCGTATGATGTTTCTATTTCCACTTCAAGGCCTACAGATGTATCATTTTCGAAACCCAGTAAAACATCATTATTCCATTCTTGTTTATCAGTTAGAGAGATGACAGTATTGCTATTTTGCTGAAGTTGGTGTACAATCTGATGCGTGTTGTTAACATCACACACACTTTTTGAATAAGCATTATTATTGGATAAGGATTTATCAAAAGTACTTAAATCTGTTTCAGTAGTATAATCATGGTTTGATGAAGAGCATAAAACATGATTAGGTATAAATGTATTGGACAATTTCTTATTATTATTTTGAATAATCGCCGACTGATTGTGTTTTTTATAAGCTCGATAATATTTCTGTATAATTTTGGCTGCTTCGTATAAACGTTTCTGTTCCATATCCGATAGAGTTAATCTACTTAAGTCAGTTTCCATAAATTTTCCTGGTACTGCATTAAAATGTTCAGCAATTTGTGCTGTAGACGGTGGTGGACTATTTAAACTGAAAGCGCTTAATGATTTCCCTTGACGATCATATCGAAGTACATCAAAATCATTTTCATTATTTAAATCTGAACTCATAAAACTAGTAGAACTAAAAGGTGTATCGAACATTGAATTTGACGTGATAACTCCACTATAAATAATAAAGACATTAAAACAATTATTGGAAAATGGAGGTGGAGTGAATCTATAAAATTTTCAAAACTAATTAAAACGTTCTACAATTTCATTTTCAATTCTTTGGGAACCTACCAGTGGACATAAACTCAGAGTAATACCGAATATTGGACTACTGATTTCTAGTAACTAAGTATAATCGTATCTATGGTTTAGGTCAGAAGGCAAAATGTAACTCGTGAGATCATTAAGACAATTTAATCCTAATTATTTATAATTAATTTAATTTTTAATACTGTTGATATTTTCGACTGACTTCTGAGTCATAAATTGGTATATATGCAGACTGCCTCAATGTGACACTTAAGCTACAAGTTTTACAGATTAAATCGATTATGACTAGAAGTGAAATTGTCCTATTTGGAACTCTTCAGCTGATGTATCTGCATCCGAGTACCGATGTAAACCTTAAGGATAGAACTTACCAAATTTCGCTTCAAACGCTCAGCGCGTTGTCCATTGAGCTACTGAGTTCAGAGAGCCGCTAGATCGTAAAGTAGGCATTCAATTTCATCTGTAATGGTTTGAATTACCCTTTAATCGATCTTATTTGATGCATCCTAAAAAGGACAAAACCTGAGTCCTGGATTCCACAATCCATCAATTCTATAAAGAGTGCGAACTTATCTTTTGCGTAAGATATTTTGTGCAAGCTGAAACACTCAACTATAATTTAAGACATAAACAGAAACGAATGGTTCAATTTTAATTCGAAAAAAATTGGATGTCATGCTTATCGTACTAGTGGATTCATACTCCTGATGAGTTACATACTACGGAAGCATTATTTTGAAGCTGTTTGATTTTCAATGGTTATCTAGTTTGTTAGCAAGCAATCAATAAAGAATAATGTATTGTAATCATAAAATTACACGTACGTTTCATGAGAATTCAATTCAACACTGATTTCATCATCATCATTGGAAGTTTTCAATTTACTTCTATTTTTTTGAATAGGAGGAGTAAAATATGATCTTCTTCTCAAAGGTTCATGAAAACTAAGTAAAGCACTTTTTAACTGATGATTCACTTTATTCTCTGGATAATCATCGATGCCAACACCACGATATCTAAAACTGTTATATAATGTCAAATATTTATCACGATAAGGTCGTTTCGATGGAAGTGAATTAAATGAACCAATTGATTTATTATTTTTATGATTATTACTAAATGATTTGTTTGTTATATTTGGAAATATTTTAACTGAATATTTGTTTGTATCATCATTATTTGTTAACTGAATAGGATTAGTAATAGAATTAGTATTAGTGGCTAAAGTGAATGGTTCATAATGCAACAATGAAGAATGTGATTTGAGTTGGTCAACTGGTGCTCGACTCAAAGCAATACTTTCACCTAAAGCTGAATCAGAAAACTGGATAGAAGAAGACTGGGACTCTTCACAATTATAACTATTATCATAATCTACATGGGTTGATAGCAGATCATCACAATTTTGATTATGAAGATTAACAATACGCCTAGGCATAGCCTAAAAGGATATTTTGAAACAGAGAAAAAATATGATGGAAAGTGTTTTAAGTATAGAGAAAAAGAAGTGCTAGAAGACAGAAGTAGGTAAATACTTAACGTTATTCAATAGGTACATTGTAAGGATTTAAGTTCCCATCTCTGAACTTCTTGGTTGATCACTACATTGACGTCAAATGACTAACCTGATAGCATAGTTGAATTTTACATTAAAAAGAATGGTTTAATGTGGGTTACATACACTAATACTTAGTTGATAAATTGCTTTTTCGTAGACGCTAAATGGTAACCAATATATTGAATCTGGCATCGGTTTAATCTGTTGATACCACCCGTAAAAACAAGTTAATTATATCAAATCACATCAAGGATGTGGATTTTAAATAAACCCTAAAATGTCAGTTTTTTATTATAAATACTGTTCCTACACAGTTTAAATCAAAGAAAATCGAAGGGTTTGTAGTACCGAAATTCCGAAGGCAGATTAATTCAGTGCCGAAAATATTAACAACAGAAATAAAGAGAAACGAAACCTGAATATTATGTATTAAAATTTAGTTACTGAAGATGTATAAACACGTAACGAACAGCTAGTACAGGTAGGTATAAACGAGTATATAGCCAATGTCACTAGAAAGATGTGACGAGGTATTTTTAACAGTCATCTAAAAACGCTTATTGAACTTGATATGTGGTTTTTGAGCTCTCTAGCGATCGATGATGACTCGTAAAGCATGTCGGTACAGTTATGGAAAGAGATCTATACCATCGCCAATTTCTCTTACTAATATTTGAAGTAGGTGAACGAGGAATTCATGCTTTATATGTTCCTTTCATTTCGTTTTCAATTTTCCTATTTGATCTCACGTTATGATACTTTTAATAGTAAATATTCACACATCATTTTTATTCGTCATGAGACCTGAAGGTTCTGTGGTTCTAATACGATGTGGAGTCGTCGATGTACATTTCTAATAAATCACAAACTAAAACAAAACACAATTGTCCTCATTAGTTGATACCAGTTTATAATGAAACCTAACTCCGCCTGTAGCTCTTATAGGGTTGCTGCCGGTTCCAAGCCCGGGTAAAGGAGGAGGGTTGGGCACGGGGTTAGCGTCCCCATCCCGTAGAAAACTAACTCGCTAAAAAAACGCTTACCAGAAAAAATAATCCAAACCATTTTAACTCTGCCCTGGGAGTTAGAAGGTCTTCATTTAGAAGAAATATGTTGCCTCGTGGGGAAAGCCGAGTTCCCTCGGAAGCCACGAGGCCGATGCCCCTTCTAAAAACCAGAGCAAAAATTTTTATAGGTACATGGAACGTCCGGACAATGTGGGAGACCGAGAGGACCAGTCAAATAGCCACGGAAATGAGGAGATACAACTTGGCAGTACTGGGAATCAGCGAAACCCACTGGACCCAAGCTGGACAGAAAAGGCTAAATACGGGAAAGATGCTGCTATACTCCGGTCACGAAGAGGACAATGCTCCACACACTCAGGGAGTCGCTCTTATGCTGTCCAAAGTAGCACGAAATGCACTTGTAGGATGGGAATCTCACGGATCCAGAATCATCAAAGCATCATTCAAAACAAAGAAGGAGGGGATCTTAATGAATATTATCCAATGTTATGCACCCACCAATGATAGCAACGACGACATTAAAGATCAATTCTACGAGCGGCTGCAGTCAGTGATAGAGAAATGCCCAAGAAAGGACCTCACCATTCTAATGGGAGATCTAAATGCCAAAGTCGGAATAGACAACACTGGATATGAAGATATTATGGGACGACATGGACTGGGAGAAAGAAACGAAAATGGAGAAAGATTTGCAAATCTATGTGCATTCAACAAATTGGTCATAGGAGGCACACTATTTCCACACAAGCGTATACACAAGGCTACATGGATCTCACCGGACCACACTACAGAGAACCAAATAGATCATATTTGCATCAACAAAAATTTCCGAAGGACAATGGAAGATGTGAGAACCAGGAGAGGTGCTGACGTAGCTTCAGATCACCACCTAGTTGTAGCCAATTTGAAACTGAAGCTAAAAAGGAACTGGACAAGTGGACAAACAGCAATACAAAGGTTCAATACAGCCTTCCTTCGAGATACTGACAAACTCAATGAATTCAAGATAGCTCTCAACAACAGGTTCCAAGCCTTACAAGATCTACTGAAAGAAGAAGAAACTACTATGGAGGACAACTGGAAAGGCATCAAGGAAGCATTAACTTCAACGTGTCAAGAGGTTCTCGGTCTAAAGAAATACCATCATAAGGAATGGATCTCTACAGAAACAGTGGACAAGATCAAAGAAAGGAAGAACAAGAAGGCCGCAGTTAACAACAGCCGAACACGAGCAGAGAAAGTCCAAGCACAAGCTGAATACATAGAAGCAAACAAACAAGTGAAGAGGAGCATTAGAGCCGACAAGAAGAAATACGTTGAAGAACTAGCAACGACGGCAGAAAAAGCTGCTAGAGAAGGAAACATGAAACAGCTTTACGATACAACGAAGAAACTATCAGGGAAATACAGTAAACCAGAGAGGCCGGTCAAAGACAAAGAAGGCAAGCCAATTACCGAAATTCAACAACAGCGTAACAGATGGGTAGAATACTTCGAGGAACTCCTGAATAGGCCGGCTCCAATGAATCCACCGGACATCGAAGCAGCACACATAGATCTTCCTATAGATGTCAATCCACCAACTACGGAAGAAATTAGAATGGCCGTCAGACAAATCAAGAATGGGAAAGCAGCAGGACCCGAAAACATACCAGCTGAAGCACTGAAATCGGACATCGAAACAACCACAAGCATGCTTTATCCTCTATTCAAAAAGATTTGGGAGGAGGAACAAGTGCCGATGGACTGGAAAGAAGGACACCTCGTCAAGATTCCAAAGAAAGGAGATCTGAGCAAATGTGAAAACTACAGAGGCATAACACTACCGTCAATACCAGGGAAAGTCTTCAACAGATTGTTGCTGAACCGGATGAAGGATGCAGTAGACGCCCAACTTCGAGATCAACAAGCTGGATTCCGTAAGGATCGGTCGTGCACAGACCAAATTGCAACACTACGGATCATCGTCGAACAATCAGTTGAGTGGAACTCATCACTATACATCAACTTCATTGATTATGAAAAGGCATTCGACAGTGTAGACAGGAGGACGTTATGGAAACTTCTTCGACACTACGGAGTTCCTGAGAAGATTGTCAATATAATCCGGAACTCATACGACGGACTACAGTGCAAAGTAGTGCATGGAGGACAGCTGACAGATGCATTCCAAGTAAGGACCAGAGTCAGACAAGGCTGTTTACTCTCTCCCTTCCTTTTTCTCCTGGTGGTCGACTGGATTATGAAGACCTCAACATCTAAAGGAAAACACGGAATACAATGGACAGATCAGAATCAATTAGGCGATTTGGACTTCGCAGATGACCTAGCCCTCCTATCACGTACACACGAACAGATGCAGATGAAGACAGCCAGTGTAGCAGCAGTCTCTGCATCAGTAGGCCTCAGCATACACAAAGGGAAAACTAAGGTCCTCAAATTCAAAGCGGAGAACAGCAATCCAATCACTCTTGATGGCGAAACTCTGGAAGATGTAGAATCCTTCACATATCTGGGAAGCATCATCGATGAACAAGGAGGCTCAGATGCAGACATAAAGGCGAGGATCGGCAAAGCAAGGGTCACATTCCTACAATTGAAGAACATATGGAACTCAAAGCAACTTTCAACCAATATCAAAGTGAGAATCTTCAATACGAATGTCAAGGCAGTTCTACTGTATAGAGCTGAAACTTGGAGAACTACAACAACCATCATCAAGAAAGTACAAGTATTTATAAATAGCTGTCTTCGCAAGATACTCGACATCCGTTGGCCGGATACCATCAGCAACAGCCTTCTGTGGGAGAGAACAAACCAACTTCCAGCTGAAGAAGAAATTAGGAAAAGACGATGGAAATGGATAGGACATACATTACGCAAATCGTCAAACTGCATCACGAGGCAAGCCCTAACTTGGAATCCTGAAGGGAAGCGAAAAAGAGGAAGGCCAAAGAACACATTGCGTCGGATAATAGAAGCAGATATGAAAAGGATGAATTACAACTGGACGGAGCTAGAAAGGATTGCCCAGGACAGGGTTGGATGGAGAATGCTGGTGAGCGGCCTATGCTCCTTCACGAGGAGTAACAGGCGTAAGTAAGTAAGTAATGAAACCTATCTTTCCATTTACTAATAGACTATTTTATTCCATCATTTTTATCAGCATTGTTAATTCATACAACCCCTTTTCAATCAGTGATTTGTTAAAAGAAAAAAATGCTCTAAAGTTTGTAAATATTATCTGGAGAATTTGAAACTGAACTTTTTCTAAAGTGTTCTAGTTATTTAACAGAAATATTATCTACAGTTTAATTGAATTCACATAATCGCATTTGTTTTTTACAGAATTTATGATGGGAATGTATTGTGTGGATAGATTGTTCAATTCCAAATATCTGAAACAGTTAAAAACGATTTGGATTTATGAATAAATATGCACATTTCACAATGTTTATGTATGCATTAGCCATTAACTCACTACTTATTTATATTCAGTAATTCATTTCGAATTTAAAAACTTTTGGGTGACTAATGGAAAGAATATCTATTGTCATATGATATTCACGAGCATTGAGATCAGCTGACAATATTCAATTGATTTATTACTGTGTTCACATCAGTATAATACTTATAGCTGATATTTTTAATTCTAATGTATCTATTGGATGTTCTTTTTATTGTATCGGTTCCCATATTTGATGATCTTCATTCATGTTTCGACGTCATCTGTCATTTTAATTTCGACACATACGTCTTACCGTATGTTGTTACAAATTTCCCTCTATATCCATTTTAAGGAGCACTTTCATGTGATTGTAAACGAGCTCAGTAAAAAGTGTGGATACCGTACGAGTTCGGATTTTTAATTTATTTCATAAATAGTTTCTAAATAAAATTAACTACTCTGCAGGTAATCTCAGGTGTTGGGATGCCTCCTTATTCAACGCATCACTATATTATGTATCCAGAGCTCATATAAGCACTTAATATTGAATGTAAATAGATGATAATCAACCGAAGATATAATCAGCTATTTATAGATCTTTGAATAATAAACAACAAATTCCGATTAACAGATTACATAAAGTGAATTAATAAAAATGAAATCATTAGCATGAAACCCTTACCCATCGAGACATAAAATAATAAATATTGGTTCAGAGAAGAGTTCTCTTTTCGTCAAATTCATTTACAAAGCTGTACGATTGCAAATATATACTGATTTTTTAAGATGATAATATTTAAAATAATTTTATTATCATTATTATTGCAATTATTATCATGCTGAAGAAAAGTACATACTTACTATTGTACAGTTTTGATAAAGAATTAGCCGAAAAGAGAATTCTTCACTGAACCAAACTTTCTTATTTTATAAAACACTTACTTCAATTATCCTGTCAGCTAAACAAAACATTTGAGAATGATCATCATTCATTAAATTTGTTACACTAGCATAAAGAGAAGTTGAATCTAAACGACCATTATGACAATGATGACGTCGATTGTATGTTTGTTTACGCCAGGTACATATATTTTTACGTTTTATATTTGAATTCAAAGTAATGTCATCCTCATAAAGTTGATGATGAGTATCGAACGAATTGTTGTTATTTTCGACTGCATATTTAAAATTATCTGAATTATCTACAAACTGATTGGCTGCTGGTGTTGGTAAAGACTTTAAAATTTTTGAATGATAACTTGTATTACAGATATTATGTAACGATGTGGAGTGATAAAGTGATTCTTCTCCTGGAATATCATCATCATCAATAGATACGTCTAGACTATAATTTTGCTTTGAATAGTCTAACTTAATCATATTCGATTGTGTATATAACAATGAGTGAGTAAATGACGATGGTTTTGTATTAACATCAATTTCCGTTAGATCAATATGATTTGGTAGTGTAAATGTTTCCGTATAATTAACAAGTCTTTCTAATTTAGTTCTAACAGTATCTGTTGCATAATTTTGTGCATTCGATGAAAAATATTGTACTTCTAATTGTTCAATACACTTTTGCATAGATTCACTTTTGATAACCAATGCTAACTAGAAAAAAAATAAAAAACAGAATTTAATCCAATGAAAACAAAAACGTAATTAACACTAAAAATCATGTTGACAAGATTTGTTTTAAATCAGAAAATGAAACAAACTTATTTACTTTTTCGGTCTTCGATTTCATTTCTTCAAATATTTACCAATAACAAAGTAAAACTAACTTTATCATTATCATGATGTTAATGAGTATAACATAATGAAATGATTTACTTGTGAGAATGACTTTACATTGATGCTTACATCTATAAGTCTATGAATTGGTTTTGTATGCATTATGAATCTTTCATAAAACAAAACATTGGACTAAGATCCATTTTTACTAATGGCTATTAATAGTAGTAGGTGAGTGTTCATAGAGTGAAATATATAAGAAGGTTACGAAACAATTAACAGCCCTGTGTGTGTGATTTAATGAATAACTAAACAACATTCAAATAATCAAGGTGGCTTTTTTTACTGATTCATTAAAAATTTATAGCAACAAGACAGAATAGTGCAGAAGGGTTCAGAATTCGATATAATCTAAACTATTTCTACAATCAGATAACACAATTTGAAGTCAAAATATTATCTCCATGTGGAATCATTAATTTAAATCCATAAACTTAAAATAACGGTTTTGTTTGCCACTTTCTTTTCACAACTCATTTTTACGTGAAATGCTTAACGTTAAATTAAAAGTTTGTTCAAGTGTTCTTGGTTAAATTGATTCAAATATTAATGTTGAGAATTAACTGAACGTTGTATCAATAAAATCGTTTTTATGGCAAAGCAAGAGGAAAATAAGTAATGAGATTTATACAGCTTATATTTATCATGAGTAATTTTCATTTTATTGCACAATTTCTTGATTCCTATTACTTTTTGTCCTATGGATTACAACTACACATATAAGCGAATATTGTAAGCTTCTTCTTGTCATAAAGACTCAAATTGCTACATCAAATTCCCATCGATTCAATCAGATGTAAATGTTGAGATCGAACTTCATTGGGACAATGTAAAGATATTTGCTAAGATTTCATGAGTAAATTTTATTTTGTTGGACAGTTTCCTGAACATATACTATCAATTATTTAAAAACCAGTTGGAAATTCATTATGTGTAGATCGATATTATCCCCATATTAGGTAATTCGAGGTATTCGATAAGAAATCGTGAGTCTAGGTTTTGTGTCAGATGTTACTCGCCCGTAAGGCATACATCTAGGTCTTCAGAAAACTAGTAGCCCCTGCAGGATTTAAACCCACATCAAACTGCTTCAGTCTGAAATGGTGCTGCTAGGCTATTCAAGCCTATTGCGTAGCCTGCTGTTGAACTGAGGTATTTACAGTGACTAATTACTGAGTAGTGATTGATGTCATGTTTGTTTAGCTTTCTGAAGGTTGGTCGAATTATATCGAACATGTTTTATTGTAGCTACCAGTTTAAGTAACTCGATATTGAATGTGCTATTTTTGATATTATTTATATATGAACATTAACTGACACGATCCAAGGTGCGTTTAGCAAGGTGAAGTTGTTTCGATATTCGAATTTATACTATTTTAGAGTAGCAATTTTTTGAGTTTTTAATCGGTTAAAGAAAGCCATGTAAATGTATTGATATTTAAAGTGACTGCAATTACTGAATCAGCAGTTACTCCATGAAATAAACAAGGAATATGATATTTCACTGAATAATAAAAGAATCCTCTTACTTTTTCTGGCGTAAACTCATCACCCAATTTTGAACACGACGATAATGAATTATATAAACAAGGTTTATGAAGAGCATCTGGATCCCATACTACTAAGAGCTTCGTTGTTACAACCTGTTCGTACAGAATAGCTGAACCCAATGGTGTGAGTGTTGGATAAGCAAGGGAGGGGGAATTATTTGGGGTCAAATCTATACCAAATGAAGTACAACAGAAAATTACTAACCATAAGAAACAATACAAATTTATGAAATAGATCAATCACTATGTATGTAACAACACATGAAACCAAGCGAAGACCTTATAAAAGGTTACGACCAGGAATGAAAGTTTCTACTTTGATTATGGCTGGTTCTGCAGTGTAATTTTAATCATTAGTTCATTCAGGATAAGGAAAAGTTCCTAATATATTGGTTCGCCGTTGATTTAAAAATTTATCGGCATATACCCTAATCAAATTATTTTAACCACTTTGAAGTTTTTATGCCAAACTAATATCGGTAGACAGATAGAAATTGGAGCATGTTACCAATCATTATATATATTGCAAACAATAACGTTTTCAATTATGATTTTTTTGTTTTTATATGTACAGCTCTAAATGTCACTGAAAACAATTTTAACATTCTGTAAAAGACTTATACATAATACTTTTCTTAAACTATAAATGTTGCAACTATACGCAAAGATAATATAAATGATAAGGAATGAATATTTTATTGATCGAACAACAACATAATTAAATACACAGACTCACCATGTAAAAGAGATAAGATCCTAGATAAATCTGTATCGACATCTGACTGTAAAGTTGTACCACAGTGATCTGTAAAGAATGATGTAGGTTGATTATAATAAATTCGTACAGCCCATTGCAACAGTCCTAGTATCAGTTCAGAATAACTAAAAATGAGAAAATAAACAAACGGATTGATTGAAACTGACAAATCACTGAAAGCCCAGGCTCTCACTGTCTCTCAGCGAACAAATTACAATGATTTATCACGGAGTGAGTGAAGATAAGGATTCGCATCATTGAATTTCAACATAGTAGATTAAAGGTAAGGCACTAACAGCAAGGTCTGAAAGTTCTGGCCTCGATTCATAGTGAATTTGTGGAACCGCCCCGTAAGAAATCCTATTACTAGGATGAAATAGCTATCAATAGCTCCCTGCTTTTCAATGGTTCACTATCCAAAGATGTCCGAAACCATACCATAATTAATTTGCTTTCTCTTTACAAGATGACAACAAAAAATGCAAAAGAATTTTTAACAATGATCTAGCTTGACAGATCAAATCGATCTAACAATTGAGCTAAGAGATTCAAGTAGTAATTAGACATGAACTATATTTAAGTTACCTATTGTTTTGCGCTCGAACAGTCATCTGTGCCTAATTTACCAAATCTACTAAATGGTAATCTAAATATGTACATTTTTATTTAGATGTTAGAGAATACAGTGTTTTTAAATAAAAATTACTGATAAAAATAAAATTTTGATAAAAGGATTGTTTCAATAGGTTCATTCACAAGACTACATAAGGCTACATTAGAAATAACTACTGGGGTAAATATAGTTAATGCGAATATAACTGATCGAAAAAGTTTATATAAATAACAACTTGGACAAATATATTAAGAATAACATATTTTTTCTAGCCGAAACACAATGACGGCAGTCTTTTTCAAATAAGACAAAAGACGATTCAATCACAGACCACCTACAACCTTCCATAAAGTCGTCATACATCACAACAGTGCAGTCCAAGAAAAAAAACAAAAGAAATGAAAGCAACAGTCGTATCAATGACATTAACAGTAAAATATAGAAAATTTAGTTCGAAAATTATAAATCCTATTAACGAACAAAAAGTTTGACGTAATATTAAACCTTCGGATTTAGAAGAAAATAATGAATACAGACATGTCACTTATGTTTTTCATATATTACGATTGTACCGCGGATACAACTAGAAAGTTTGGATCTTCTAAAAAAGCCTAAAGAATATACCAATGAAGCTATATCGTTTTCGTTTGAATGCAACAGAATTACTCCAATCTGCCCCGATCCCAGTAACGATTTCTTAATGAAGCATAACGACCTAAGTAACTGACAACACATCCTTTAATATGCAAAGGGTAGCAGACTTGGATATTTAGCGACACGCCTTTCATTTGGTATCATATATAAGATTCAGTCATATGTTCCCAGAGCTTGATGGTATAAGGATACTTCACATTTAAATTACGATAGCTTTAAAACTATTTTACTGGTGCAAACAAGATCTGTACTTTTCATTAGATCTGAAACTTCTAATCAAATATTTTATACCCAGTCGTTTTTCATTGTGCATTTTCTCACTGTTAAATCTTTTTCAATACCAAACATTCACACCGATGCTCTTCAAGTATATGGTATACAAATAATTAGTGTTCAATAGTTTGAGGTATGTTCAACTAGTTTTATGACTTATGGATTGAATACTATCATTCACGACCACAGCTTAAAGTTATGTATTTAGTCTATGATTTATTCACACATGATCTGCACACGTATAAACATCTTTCTTTTTTTCAGTTATTACTATTCTCACTACATTTCACACCAATAACTCGTATTCACATTTGCACTTAAATAAGTCCCGAACTCAACAACTTAAAAATCATTGGACAATGGTTTAACTGAACAGTTGTTTCGAAAGCCTACTCATAATCGATTATTGTGATTTATGAATATTTCTCTAGAGATGCTTGGGCCAGATTGTTGCGAGAGATGTTGGAGTTATTTTAATTTCAATTTCTGAGAAGTTTACGAAAACAATTTCCTTTTAACGCCTTCCATTAATTTTCAACTGAAATCTTTTAAAACTATTCTTTCAACATAGATGAAAATTCTCATAAGGTTCATGTTATTCACCCTGATAGTATCGTATTCCAAGACAAATCTTGTCTTTACTTCCAGGGTTTTACAAGTAACTAAGGTATGTTAAGAATCATAGGACGTATTCTATGATCACGATTACTTGTTATATGATTTGCCTTAACTTGATTCTAATGTTTATAAATATTCAGACTTAAGTCTAGATTTTCCATATTATAGTTCTTTATTATTAAACACATTACATGATCTTGATCTTAATTGTATTCAACTTTACTCAACTTAATTTTACAACTAAATATCCCTGTTTTGCGAACAACTACATAATCATATACTTAATTTACAAAAATTACGTATTTAATTTCATTATCATAATTCGCATTAATATTCTAACACATACATACTATTTTAATAATGAATAGTTATAGAGATCTAAAAAATTAGCGTTGCTTCAGATTGAAAAATTAAGATACATTAGAGCTTTAGGAATTTCAACTATCATTATATACTGGTGCATGATAACAACGTATGTTATTTTGCACTTGAATAGATGTATGATAGTAAGCGCTATGAATCTATAGGAACTAACCTACATGGAAGCTTAATTTCAAGCCATTTAAATCACCATTAATTAAAGGAGCTCTTGGTTCATAAAGGAAAGTCTTATGTTTGAACTGTTAACAGTAAAATCTTGGTTTAAGATTGATGGCATTCGAATCCATAGTAGCTTACACCCTTTACAATATTATTTACTGTAATTTTTAAGACAGAAGAGTAGTGCCGTTACGTTATCTCTTCTTAATTGCATGAATATTCGAAAGGTAACTAACAGCAGGCTGAAACAAAAATATCAAGGGGAAAATAAATTTACAGTACTGAAAAAGCTTTTGTTTATGAAAATATAATTCAAATGGTATGTAGCAGCAGAGATCTTGAAAAATTCCGAGAAGGATCCTTTATTTAACGGGGTCCACTAGGTACCTGATCTCAGGATGCATAAAGGAAAGACTAATATTTAGGACCAGCACGATGGGCATCGACCAACTTTACTTGATCTTTTGAAGTAGGTTATTTCGACCTCATAAACAATGCGATTCCGAACGCAAGCACTATCATGTAAGGCTGTCTAGAAGGGAAGGTAAGCCAATTCATTTTAACAAATCTTTGAAAACTCAAGAGTAAATACTCAAGGTACCCTTTCTGGCCAAATATAGTTAGTGAATTCGGTCGGGACTTCTGAAGAAGCACACATGGAAGCGCAGCACGGCTGCTTAGGCTCAAAAGTTGTTTCTGCAGTGGATTTTTCCGTTTTCGGTTTTATTTCCTGTCCTGTGATTGCTTATAATCTATGTACTACAAAAAAGTGATTGATTAAACCTTTGAGGGTTGGAAGTCTTTTTACAGTCTTTGAAAGAGTAGTGGCTTTAGTCAGTTGAGGTGCTTTGTGAGCTGGTGTTCGTATGATTTTTAGTTTGTGTGATTGGTGTACTTTGTTTATGTTGTGGATCACATGATTGTATGTGTCATATTACCCATCCTGCAGTCTTGTATATTTTTGATCTGGCGGTGTTTTGGTCAGTCTGTGATCGTAATTTTGGGTGTCTATTCATTTCTTTAAAGGTAGAAAATAGTCAATTGCAGTTTTCATTGAGGTATTTGTATATGAGCTTTCCTTTCTCAATTTGTGGTTTTGCTTTTTCATTCTGGTTAATTTTGACATTGCTTGGATTGTTTATTCAACTTGCTGGTAGTCTATCTTTCATTTCCCCTATAACAAAACAAGGTTACCTAAGCCAATTTCTTGTATGTACTTTTCAGTTACAGTTTGGATCTGCTACGTAACTTTTCAGATGCCTCACTATTAGGTTATTCGATCTTTCGTCTCTGACCATCACGCTTAAGCAGGGTGTACACTTCAGATATTGGCTTTTTAACTTCTAGAGTGCTAACGCTAAGAATCATTCATTTCAAATGTATCAAAAGGAAATAATACTAATGAAACTTCACTTCAAAATTAGTATATGTAAAAACAAGTTAAACAATTTGTATGTGATTACGTGAGACTTCCCAATATGAAAACTTCTAAATAAGACGTCAAAACTGATGATCTTCCACAAGTTTGATTCAACACATTAAGAAGACATAAATAAATGCGTTAAAGTCCAGAATTTATTTATTTTTTTAAAAGATAGATGATTGCACAAATATATTAGCTATACTTTCTTTGGTTTTCCTTAGTTTCAGTGATAATCATATAGAGAAACTTCCTAACAGAGTCCAAATGTACAAATCCTAACATAGTGTTACGTGAATAAGCAATTAACATGAACGTTTTCCAAACACGAAAATCTATTCTAAAACAAAGCAACCTTAACAAAATGTAATCATGCAAAAACAACTTACCCCAAAGCAGCTGCACAACTTAAAAGAGAAATATCTATCTTCAATGAAGTCATTTGTTCTTGTAATTGTTGAATATTGAACTCATCAAATTCATTTTCAGCTTCTAATAAGTAACTGACAGAACTTTGATTTGTTCTATCACTATTATTATTACTAATATTATCTGTTTTCTTCATCCATTCGACTAGTTGTAGAATTAAATACATTTCCAATTTATCTGCACATTGATCATGTCGTAGTGGTATATTCAACTGTACAAACATGTTTTGTTTTACAAAAAAAAGAACCATTAAAGTGTTACATTGGGGTAAAGATGATAACCCAGATAAATAAATAGTTTGGTGTCAGATGGTTGAAACTAAGCGATGAGAAACTCTCAACCTAAGTTTATGTGCTAGTTGGTAATCACCACCATGGTGTTAGCAAAGGTAAGATGGCTGATACTTCAAGAAGGATTAGGACCAGTAATCGCCAATGCTGTTGATCAGAGAGGTCACCAATAAGCCATTCGGGTTGAGGTGGACTTTACAATATTGGTTATTATTTATAGATCAGTTAGTGAGAGGTTTCACTAGTACATAATGGTTTAGTCCTTACGGATGACAGAGGTCTGTTGGTCAAATTGCGCTGTGATCACTTACTGATACGGAAACTGCATACTTTAATAACAGAATTTATACTGAGAACATATATAATGCACTTTTGTATAATAATAACAGGCGACCACAATTGCAGCACAAAAACTTTTGTATAAAAAGGGGAATTAAAGGTGATATTAAAATAGTTCAACGATTATACATGTAATGTTGGGTGTTAAAATAGCTTTTAATCACTTATATAATTTGATAAGGTGGGTGTATGAAAAACTTGTAGTTTGGCCAAAATGATTTTGTAAACTAAAACATACACTGTCCAAATCATAAAACTATTATCTATGGTTAGATGAAGGTCAAATTATCATATTTTTAAAACCGCGGCTTTCAATGAATTGGTGCAACGAGAAAAACTTTCAAAAGGAAAGCACCAATGTTTGATCTGAACAACACATACAAAACGATAGATACATTGAATGATAAATTTCAACTGATGGTAACAAAGTCAGCAGTTTGCAAATTGATGCATTACGTTCCTTAAAATGAATTTTGAAAAATACAAATTCGAGATCTTGATTCTGCCCCAAATACGACCGAGGGTGAGAAGAGTCAGCTCTCCCTAACCAAATACTCTCACATGGACACACGTATACAGCCACTACTAGAGAAGACCTACTCACTTACTCACTGACTTCTTGTGAGCAGGGTGTTATTTACAAAATTGAGAGGATGAAAAGCGAATTTCCAATGCTTTAACTGGGATGGTGGATATGGAAGATCCACCTAGAGGAGTTGGAAAACTCTGATTTCAAACCGATGGTGAACATGTGCTTCAGGATCCTGGGGAAATAAAAGGCGTACGAACCAGTTTCTGGCCACCGACTACCATGAGACTGCATCACCTTATGTTGCTCCACTGTCTAAAGCTCTAGACCTTTAGGTCGAAAGCTCCAGTTGTAGTTCCGTAAAGAAACCAGGTCTAGGTTTGGGCACCCGAGCAGTATCGCAGCCCACACACGCAAGTCAAGTGACTTGTGTTACGCATATGTATTCGGTGCCCCTTTGTACCAGTGTTTATGTGTTTAAATAAATAAGCATAAGATCTTAACAATTAGTAAACTGTCATAGAATAGTGAATACGAAAAGATAAACCTTATTAACTTAATATTATATTTCTTTGATCATCTAAATTATTCAATTGATCTGATATAGTTCCCAAAAATTGAGAAAAATGATTCCATTGTTATCAATTATACTATTTTTTAAATTTAATTTCGATAATGTAATGAGAAGACGTAGTTTATCAGAATTATGTGATATATTTGCGCAATACATTTCGAACAATCTGATCACACATTTACTTGTTAAGAACATTTATATATGAAAATTAAAAGGTCAACTAGACAGGTTAAGGGTAAGTCATAACAAAGGAAAAATATTAAAGTACACAAAAAACAAATGTGATTACCACTCTGGATAGTAAATCAGTACTACCAGGGTAGGTTAAATGTAAGCACAAATTGTTTTTGAACACATAAAGGGGGTTTCAATTTTCGTATAGCCAAGGCTTCAATAAACCTTAGTATACGTCCTTGAAGGCTTTTGTACAACACAACAAATGCTGATTTGATATCGACCTTATGACCCGTCTCAATCAAATGTTTCGCAATGGATGATGATGTCTGTCTATCCTGTGATCTTATTTCACCATTGGAATTCATCTGATTCTACAACCATTTTGGTATATGTTCACCCACCCTTAATTACAGATCACGATTGCTCCTCCCTATGTACGTGTTTCCACACATACATGTAAATTGATAGACACAATGGGATGTGACACAATCGTTTTCGTGTTGTTTGGGCTGCATAAAATGTCCGGTTGATAGCTGATTTAAGTCTCTGTTTCAACATGAGACTATTTGTGTCACCTCTGAATGGTAACGTAATATAAACTCGCTTTTTGGGTGCCAGAAGCGTCATAGGTCTAGCCATATTGCAACCCCTCCAGCGGTTTATGAACTTCAAAGAGTAACCATTATTGATTAACGCATCAGTCAAAAGCTTCATTTCTACTTCAATAGTATCACTAGTACAAATACGATTGATTCTATTGAATAAGCTCTTTATTAAACCGCGTTTATAATGAATAGGGTAGTGACTCTGAAAATTAAGATATTGTCCTGTCCATGTTGGTTTTCTATATATAGCACGTTTGATGGAACCATCATCTCTCCTAGTAATCAGGATGTCAAGAAAAGGAAGTTGGTTGTTCTTCTCTTCTTCACATGTAAGAGAAATGTGCTTTTGACTACTATTGAATTCTTCTAACAAGCGGTTTATGTCTTCAATTTTATCACCTATGATTATTATGTCATCCCATGAACACATCAGGCAGCAATGGTTCTAGTGGGCTGCCCATAGCTACACCATCTATTTGTCTGAAGTGTTCACCTTCAAATGTGAATTTTACATTATCTGTACATAATAATAATAATAAATCTTTAAGAGTTTTAACAGGAAAAGGCAGTGGAAGGTTTTTCGAAGAAATAAAGTCACACAAATTATCAATGGTTTTCCTAAGAGGTACATTTGTAAATAAAGTGTTTACATCAAAGGAGCACATTGTCTTTGTCTTTATATTTATATCCTTTAACTAATTAATTAATTCAAATGAGTCAGTCAAAGAACACTTACAATATTGATTTCTGATAGGGTTTAATAATTTTGTAAGCCATTTTGCAAGGTTGTGTGTAGGTGACCGACATATCGATAGAATTGGACGTAAGGGGATATTAGGCTTATGAATTATCGGTAATCCATATAAATGAGGATATGCCGAACCCATAGGTTTTAATAAATTAAACTCATCTTTGCTATTACCACTGAGAATGGATTCCATTTTATTTTTGGCTGATGTTGACTTTGATGGATTATGTAAATTAGAAAAGAAAGTAAACTCGAATCTTGTGAAATTGTTAAACATGAATGCTATTAACGAAGATGAGTTTAATTTATTAAAACCTATGGGTTCGGCATATCCTCATTTATATGGATTACCGATAATTCATAAGCCTAATATCCCCTTACGTCCAATTCTATCGATATGTCAGTCACCTACACACAACCTTGCAAAATGGCTTACAAAATTATTAAACCCTATCAGAAATCAATATAGTAGTCAAAAGCACATTTCTCTTACATGTGAAGAAGAGAAGAACAACCAACTTCCTTTTCTTGACATCCTGATTACTAGGAGAGATGATGGTTCCATCAAACGTGCTATATATAGAAAACCAACATGGACAGGACAATATCTTAATTTTCAGAGTCACTACCCTATTCATTATAAACGCGGTTTAATAAAGAGCTTATTCAATAGAATCAATCGTATTTGTACTAGTGATACTATTGAAGTAGAAATGAAGCTTTTGACTGATGCGTTAATCAATAATGGTTACTCTTTGAAGTTCATAAACCGCTGGAGGGGTTGCAATATGGCTAGACCTATGACGCTTCTGGCACCCAAAAAGCGAGTTTATATTACGTTACCATTCAGAGGTGACACAAATAGTCTCATGTTGAAACAGAGACTTAAATCAGCTATCAACCGGACATTTTATGCAGCCCAAACAACACGAAAACGATTGTGTCACATCCCATTGTGTCTATCAATTTACATGTATGTGTGGAAACACGTACATAGGGAGGAGCAATCGTGATCTGTAATTAAGGGTGGGTGAACATATACCAAAATGGTTGTAGAATCAGATGAATTCCAATGGTGAAATAAGATCACAGGATAGACAGACATCATCATCCATTGCGAAACATTTGATTGAGACGGGTCATAAGGTCGATATCAAATCAGCATTTGTTGTGTTGTACAAAAGCCTTCAAGGACGTATACTAAGGTTTATTGAAGCCTTGGCTATACGAAAATTGAAACCCCCTTTATGTGTTCAAAAACAATTTGTGCTTACATTTAACCTACCCTGGTAGTACTGATTTACTATCCAGAGTGGTAATCACATTTGTTTTTTGTGTACTTTAATATTTTTCCTTTGTTATGACTTACCCTTAACCTGTCTAGTTGACCTTTTAATTTTCATATATAAATGTTCTTAACAAGTAAATGTGTGATCAGATTGTTCGAAATGTATTGCGCAAATATATCACATAATTCTGATAAACTACGTCTTCTCACTGCATTATCGAAATTTATCAAAGGGGCTAATTTTTTAAATTTAATTTATTTAAATATCAATTAACTAACCTTAGGATATTCATCAAAGTTACTTGTTAAATAATTTATAAGCATTGAATTCGAAACATTGTCAGAATGTATATCATCCATATGTTTCGACGTAATTGATGTACTATTATAGTTAGATTCATCAAATGACTTGCTAAATATTCTTGATTTATGATTTGGTAATAAAATGAATTCATCTTCAATGTCAATGGATAAATGAATACCCGGTGCTAATGAACTAAAGCGAATAAACACTATCCAACGTAATAGATCATCTGGGTAATAAAACGGAAAAATAAAAACAAATAAAAATTGATAAACTAGTCTTCTATAGATAAAATCAGTAATCGTTATTTTATGAATGGTTATGCAGAGAATGATTATTGCTTTTCTTCAGTGAGTAACTGCTTCACACCAAACACAGTTGAACTTCATGAGACATAGCTTCTCACTAGAACTCCAAGAAAATCCATCTTGAAGCTATTATTACTTTGTCAAAAGGATGCAACAGTTGTTATTTGGTAACTACTGAGAACTGTTTTAACTTATCTGAGTCAATAATAGTAAGAAGACCGGTGTCAATGAGACAATTTGTCAACTAGTAATCTATTAAGGTGTCTGGAACATTTGATTGAACAGTATGAGAACCAAATTAAGTAGATTGTTTCACAACAGATTAATCCGTTCATTTCTTCAGACCTGATAACTACTGGTCTACTTAGCAAACTGAAAGTCTGGAAGAGATCCAGCACGCGGGTTTCATTCTATTTGGGACGCGTTAGCTAGATGTAACGGCTATCTGGATTTAGTAGCTAGGCGGACAACGCGATGGAGTTTGAAGTGAACATTACTGGGTTCAAGTCTCAGAGTAGACACCAACTCTAGGATGCAGGTACATCCATCTGACGAGTCCCAAATAGGATGAGAAGCGCGTCTTGAATTTCACCGCTGGCCACCATCCATCTTGGCCTACAAAGAGATGGCTATTCTTTTATGAGCAGCACTTAATGAAAATCGACATAAAAAGTAGTTACTAACCTGAGAGCTTTAATTTGAGCAAATCTATATTATTGCACCGACCAAAACTGTACTCTGAGTATCCTCCATCAGATATGAATGGATTACAAGCAGTATCATTTTGCTGGCAGTTAAATTGTGCGCTTTCAAAACTCTAAAATAAAACAATGAGTAAAGATATAATAATATATAATAACATCGTAGACTGTTATACAGTCAAACTGTATTGATCAGAAAGACAAGGTAGTTGATATCCACTTGTTGAAAATCCATTGAAAAAAATGTAAACCTGGAGAATCAATTATTGAACTAGGAATTAGTGAACAGTTATTCTATTTTAGTTTGAGACTTTATTTCATGAAATCAAGTGAATAGGACATTGGATAAAGGGATATATTATATAACAAACAGATTACAGTTTAAAATGAAGACTATTGTCTTAAAAGGAAGGTATTTGACAAGTATTACAAGTTATTATTATTATTATTATTATTATTATCATTAGCTTTATTCAATATTATATTTTTAGTACAATATAGAATTCTCAGCGCAAAGTATTTCAACAAGTTTCCGTTTCTTTCTTCTTGTTTACAATTTTAAAAACAGGTTGAAATGGGTAGGTAGTACTTTCATGTTTTAAATGCTCCTCTTTAGGAAATTATTGGTACTTGGAGGAAATTATCATTAAATTATCAGAAATCTCAATAAAACAAATGCTTTTAGTCATATTTTACTAAGATATTCGACAGATATTCTAAAGTAGTTTTGTTACATTGTCCTTTTGTAGTCATTATCACACGTTTTATTTTGACTCATGTACTGTTGTGTATTTCGACGTTCGAATGTATGAGAATGACAGTCTTTTCAAATTAAATTCTGTTCATTAAACAGAAAATGTGACTTTGATCGTGTAGTGTTCATTCATAGATAATATGGGCAGATTTGTCTCATGAGAATATTGACTGAGTGTCATTGATTAAACCATAAGTAATGTGAACATATTTCTAGATTATAAAATGAGAATTAACTAGTTTCTAAGCCAGTGTAAACAACTTTGTTTAACAATGAACTGATACATGAAATTCAAACTGTTTCACTGATAGTGTTGTTACTCATTGAAGTGAATCAAACTAACACTAATATATCCAGTAATGAATGATAAAAGTAGTAGTAATACATCTCACCGATTAGATGATACTAACCTATTTACCAGTACATCATTTAAGTACTTTGAGAATAGGTTGTAGCAATACGAGACTTTCTAGTTCACATTTGATTGTTTTAATTAACTAACTTGAACGAGGTTGATGTCCAGTGCTACTTAACTTTTATTGGTCAGTTTGTGATGGAAAACAATCTTTAAAATACTGAAAAAATGGATCAAATGGGTATAATTTCAACAAAGCTATAATTCATATTAAGGCATCTGTTCATAGTGTTCTTATACCAAGAAAACACTATTATCAACCCACTCTTAAAAATGTAAACGACTCAGAACTAATAATTTCTAAACAAAAGATCAAAATAAAATGTCACTGACATTACGTATGTACTATGAAAAGAATAAACCCAAATATTTACTAATTTTCTGGATAAACTGAATAATTCAGTAAACAATGAAAAAAATCAGTTTCAGTGCATGAAATTAGAAATGATTAGTAGGTTATAGTACGTATGTGAGTATGTTTGGAAGAGAGATAGAGAGACGTGAAAAGACAACATACTAGCACGTACACATACACGCAAGTAAGATTATATAGAGAAAAGAGCATTTATGAATACTGATTACGAGAATAAAAGGTTTAGGGAAGAATAACGATCACCTCTGGGACGAGTGTACATCCAGCTGACGAGTCTCAAATAGAACGAAACGCGCGTCCTACATTCCACTGCTAACCACCATCCATCTCTGCCTATAATGATTGTGACTTAAGGCAATATCGAGGCAATCCGCTCAGAATGCAAATATGCTAATAAGAGACAAATCAATTGCAGTCCTAAACATCAATGGGAAGATTCAAACGTCCAACACAAGGTGAAGAATGATAATCATTTAAAAACTTACCAAACAAAAAGAAACGACGAAGAACTAAAGTGTAAAAACCAGTAGGATACAAAATATTTTAGAAAAATGCAGTGTATTAGAGGGTAGTTTCTGTTTAGTTGCAGAAATCTATGAACCATAAGCATCTGTCTCTCTGATATGACTGAAGTTGGAAATGTAGATCGCTGTATAAAACTTTCAGTAGTTATTATCAGAAGGTCTGATCTTCACGGGTACAGTTATGTGTGAAATCAAGTCTTTTCATTGATGACAGGCTTTAGATTGTAACGCATTGACAACCTAGTTTTCAGTGATTTTTGCATCTATCATTATCAACCAGAAGTCATAACAATATACCTGAAACATTCCAGATTTTTTCTTTGGGCTGAATATCAGTTGGTTAAAACTGGCAAATTTACACAAACAAGCATAGAAATTATCAGGAAGATAGAGATGGTTATTTTTTCACTATAGAAGAATTTTCGGTCTTATGCATATTTGATTAGAAAATGATGTCTACTTAATCATTATTATGATAAACGTACAGGAAACAAAAAGATTATTTTTTGCCGAATACAGTTTGATATAATATTCAATACCTATACGAAAAGGTATACATAAATCTGAATTTGTATTTTATGAATAACGATAGTTTACTTATGTTACAACAAGAATACAATTTGGGGATACTGAATAAATACAAAATATAACAGAAACTTTCAGCGTTTATATATATATATATATATATATATATATATATATACTCTTCTCTCATAACAGTTTATTCTGCTACACATATTGGTAAAATTAAGTCATGATACAAAAGCGAAAACCTAAAAGTGTTTTATTGACTGAAAGGGATGAAATATATTACAATTTTTTGGTGTGAAAATCTTTTAAACAATTTGTTCTATGACCGTAAGAATATTTAATCTGTTGTTGGTGGATTGAAACTAAAATAACAAATAGCTCTCACGAATGTATATTTTGGAAAAGAGTAACGACCTCATAGTTAAAGCACTTACCTTTCAATTAGTAGATCACAGGTTCAAATCTCCATTAGCCTATTTCGACTTGAAAAAGCGATTGGCATTATTTATTATTTATTTTAACACATAGATATTGGTACAAGGAGACACCAAATACATATGCGCCACACAAATCTCATTCGATATGTGTGAGGGCTGGGAAACTGCCCGGGTGCCCAAACCGAAGCAGGTGGTTTTCTTAGGGGGCCACTCCCCGAGCCTTCGATCTGAAGGTCTAACCCACAAGGCAGTGGAGCATCGTAAGAAGATGCAGTCCCATGGAAGCCGGTGACCAACCATTGGTTCATACGCCATTTGTTCCCGCAGACTCTCCCCACTCTCAGTCGTACCAGATCATTTAGGGGCGATTAGTATTATTAGTCCGCATACAACTTAAGTGGCTTATATCTGAGTATATAAATTTGTTAGTCACAGCTCTGTTGGTTTATTCAGTCTATTCAGAATAAGAATTTAATGGTTTACATATAGAAAATAGAATATTATATAATATTTCAACTCCGTCTGGAGCCTTTCTGTGGCTACTGCCAATCCCAAGCCCGGATAAAGTAGGAGGGTTGGGCATGGGGTTAGCGACCCCATTCCTTAAAAAACTAAGTCGCTAAAAATGCTAACCAGAAAAATTTGATTTAAACTATCCACGATAACAAACTCATCTCATGAACCTTCTACATCATTACTTCTTTGTTATTCAAATAACTAAAAAGTTCTTTTACAATGAAATTATTGATTATTATGTGATCTTAAGTTTTATACTTGTATAATTATGTTATTTAATAAGTCAATCAAAAGTTTAACTTGAATAAATAATTAATGTCATTATATACAATCTACATGAAATCAATTCATCAGTAATTCTATATTATAAAAAAATTTATTAAAAATCGAATTAGTGAACAAACTTGAAATTTAATTAATTTAAATACTTCAATATTTAATTAAATGAAATTGTGTTGTCATAAGGAAACATCATTCAATTTATTTGATTATTTGTAAATGATACTCAGATATTAAAATGTTTCATGAGTTTTAACTTAAAGTTTAAAAATAAAAAAAACAAACAGTGTAAACATTTTTTTCTTTTAGGTTCAAAAAAACAAAACCATTATGTGTGTCATTAACAATAATGGAATTATATAATCATGAAAGAATACTAATTCAGTGACTGTATTAAAAAAGATAGGAATCTAGTTGAATAACTATCAAATGATGAGACTGATAAGCATCACAACTTATTTAATTGGATCAAGTATTTAAATTAATAGAAATGTATAGATTTAAAAACAATAAGAGCATGTTGTATTCATGCTGATGAGTTATATCAGTAAATGATTGTAGTATTGTTCATGTTTTTAAATTAATGATACAGTTAAATAAAAGAACCGCAGCCTAATAATGATTAGAACGCTTTACTGTTGACTACTAGTTAGTACATTGGAATTCCAGTTTTCTCTAAATTAGCGGTATTATTAGCCTATATGAGAAGAGCATGGATTGAAGTCAAATGAAAAAATCTGTGTTTAATTATGATTTAATTGAACACATAAATATTGGTACAAAGGAGCACCGAATACATATGCGTCACACAAGTCAGTTGATTTGTGTGTGGGGGCTGTGATACTGCTCGGGTGCCAAAACCTAGAGTTGGTTTCTTTACGGGACCACAACTGCAGCTTTTGACCTAAAGGTCTAATGCTTAAGACAGTGGGGCAACATAAACTGATGCAGTCTCACGGCAGCCGGTGGCACCCGGGCAGTATCACAGCCCGCACACAAATCGAGTGACGTGTGTGGCGCATATGTATTCGGTACCCTTTTGTACCAATATTTATGTGTTCAAATAAAATAAATAGTCGGTGGCCAACAATTGGTTCGTACGCCTTTTATTTCCTCAGGATCCTGGAGCACATATTCACCATCGGTCTGAAATCAGAGTTTTCCAACTCCTCTAGGTGAATCTTCCATATCCACCAACCCAGTTAAAGCATTGGAAATTCGCTTTTCATCCTCTCAATTTTGTAAATAACACCCTGTTCACAAGAAGTCAGTGAGTGAGTGAGTGAGTGAGTGAGTGAGTGAGTGAGTGAGTGAGTGAGTGAGTGAGTGAGTGAGTGAGTGAGTGAGTGAGTGAGTGAGTGAGTGAGTGAGTGAGTGAGTGAGTAGGTCTTCTCTAGTAGTGGCTGTATACGTATGTCCATGTGAGAGCATTTGGATAGGGAGAGCTAACTCTTCCCACACTCGGCCGTACCAGAGCATTAAATAACAAAAACTATCCACTTTGCCTTGGTCTGCACTCTAACTTTGAAAAAAATTATAAAACAATCATGAAAAACCCGGAATATCATGCAAAAAGTGTATTTCATTGAGTTTTAATAACGAACAAGCAAAATGATATCAACAAAGAAGACTTAGTACTCGAAGGTTGATCAATTTTCAAAGTTGAACAAAAATAGGAGCAAGAAATTGTTGGCGATCCTCTCTTAATGAATCTCATGTCAGCCAACGAGTTGATAATAAAACTTATATTAACCTTAGGAATGAAAATATCATTCTTTTGAGTTCAATAGTTTGTTAATGAAGCAAAATGTATGATGCTCTTAAAATTATATTAAGAAAAATTAGCAACCGAGATCTTAGAACATGAATACACCAGTATATTAAGTAATTGATTAAACCACCAGATAATCCATACATAAGGTAGTATGTAAGCTTACTGCGAGATAAAATATTTACTCTGTCACTTACTTCGTTTTTTTCAGGTTCATACACATTTGTTATCAGAGGTAAACGATGATTGGCTGAGTAGATACTAAATCGTGAAATGAAGAAAAGCCAAAAAAGGAATAAGGGATCTTAAGTGTATACTTAAAAATTTCGATTAATATAAGAAGGAAGATAAATACGTTTGTAGTAGCAACGATCTCTTTTCGAAATATTTAATGAATAAAACTAATAACAGACCGGTAGTACAGTTGCATTCCCGTTTTATCGATTTATGTCAATCGATGATTCTATGCTGCAAGATATGACGTCGGCTGGAACAGGATGGATTGAATAGATATTTCTCACTAGTTTGTAACTCGGCGGGAGCTTCAAGATCTTAGCGTTAAACATTTGAAAAGCTAATTTTTTAATCATTAGACCATCTCGAACTCAAACGAAGAACAATCCAGTACAGTGAGATTTGCAAAAGTTATTGGATTAATGTCAATTTACAAATGGAAACTATCTTACGAGTAATTTATATCGCCAAAAACACCAACGTATGTGACAAGAATAATAGTAATTCATAATTGACGCTGGTGGTGGATTGTGTGATGTTTGGGATGTGAACCATTTGATTTCGAGACACGGTGGTTTAAAGTTAACGTGGAAGTTATGGTACAAGATGTTGGATTTGATCACTTAAGGCTATATTTTCATGGATATGTACAACTAATAAGTCCCAAACTAGAATGAAACAATCCCCCATTGTTGCTTGTGTTTTTAATAGTTCACCAGTGTTCATGTCAATACTCAGAATCCTAAGACACAAACATAACCAACACGACTCACTCGTAGAACAAGATTCACATCTATCTGAAGTAATGTAATGATGTTATTTAGAATACAAAATGAAACAAAGGCTTCTAATTAAACTATCCAACTTAGCTAATTCAATAATTCATTATTGTTAAAGTATACAAAAAAAAGACAACAAAAATCAAGTTACTTACTTCTTACAAGTTTCAAGATTCAAATTATCATCAATTTCACTGATAGGATTATTGAACCGATTGTTTTTTATCACTTCTTTATCAATATTAACATGATTAATTTGTACAGCATATCTACCATTATTAGTTATTGTATGAACATTTAAATTACTAGACGACAACTCACTGGAAACATGTTCTTTTGAAAAGAATTTATGATTAGATTGATGCTGTTCTGTTACACAGCAACAATCATTACAGTCATTATTGATTATTTTGCTAGTGGGTCTTATTGCAGTTGTTGTGGTTGTTATCGCTGTAAAATCATTTCCAAGTAGATTATTATCAGTAATTAATTCATTTGATAAAAGTCCTAAGTCTTCATCAGTATAAGTTGAGATAAATGGTGAAGGTGTTGATGTTGATGTGATGATTAAATCAGTGAAATTTATTAATTCATCAGAATAACCTATTTCAAAGGGTGTTATTCTAGTTGGATCTTCTACTACTACTACTTCTTCTTCATTAATATGAAAATAATCATTATTACCATTATTAGCAGTAGTAGTAGAAGTAGTGGTGATGTTATCATTGGAATGTGTGCTACCATCAGTATTAACATACTGATGATTATGATTAACAACATCATTGATATTTTGATGATCAGGACTATCATTTGACTCGATGCTTTTTGTTGTGTTAAAATTTTCAAAGTTATTCATTGTTAGTGATAATGAATAGGGATAATCATTAGCCCAATTAATTACAACATCAGATAGCAAATTATTAGATTCTACACTATTATTATTATCATCATCAGGAAACAATAACTGGTTCACAGCAGAACTTGCCTCTACTTCCCTGTCTGGATTATTATCATTATTTTTTGAGTTAATATTATTGTTATTATCATAATTAGACTGTTATTTTTAAAAAAAAGAAAAGATGGTAAATAAGTAAAAATGACAATATATATATCCTTAAAACAAAATAATCTGATTACACAACAATAATAATAATAATAATAATAAAGAGGAAGAATGTATTTGATTATATTTTCTTTGAAAACGCTTGGGCCAGATTGCCAGGTGAAGCGTTGGATTTACTTCAAATTCTTTCGCTGAAATTTTACAAATACATTCTTCCTCTTTAATGATTCACATTAACTCGGCGCCCAAATATTGTGAAACTATTCGTTCAAATTTAGACGAAAGTTCTTATTTAATAATAATAATAATAATAATATATGTATAGACAAATTAATTATTTACCAAATATTCCACTGTAAGATGATAATTGATCATAATTTATAGGAAAGGAATAAAAATAAAACAATTCAATGTATGAACAGTAAGTTAATGTTAAATATGATGTAATTTTTTCTTTCAAAAATGAAAAAAACAGAAACTTACAGTTTCATTGTTTTGACAATATCTATTTATTGGTTTTGAAGAAGAGAATATGAATGGAATGTAATCATCATTATTTTCATTATTATTGTTATTAATTATATCTGATAACATGAAATACAATAAAAAAAAACGAAAAAAAAAGGAAAGAAGACAAATGCTTCATTTAAGAGAAAGTCATTATATCAAATTAACTTTTGAAAATCATGTTTACGGTGTATATTTTGAAAATATCTCCTTTTCTCATTAGACATATAAAATCTCATCAACATAGAAATGAATGTATCGATAGAAAAATATGCCACATTTAAATTATGAGATAAATGTTATTCAATTAGTCAATAGTATAATATCACTCATATTAGGTTTTTAATCATAAATATTCAATGACAGGTAAGTAGACAAACGATCCAATGACTGAGATAATAAAGTAGATGGAAGAGAGAGAGATGATCAAGCAATTTAAATATTTTGATTAAGACTATTAGGTGACAAGTTATAATTCCCTATATCTATGTCAACTGAACAAAATCACTAAGCAAAATTGCACCTTTAAGTCAAATCAATCAATAAAAGCTTGATTAAGGAGGTATATTGTACCATTGTTATAGGTCATTATTGATTATTGGGACCCTATGAATAATCACATTTTAACTCACTCGATACAGTATACTCGCCTTTGGTAAGCAGACAGACATCTATCCTAGACCATATACTGAACAAGTCGGAAAAAGTCGAATGAGCTTTCTCTTTTGTACTAAGACTGTCAGCTATTGCTTTTAATTTAGCCGATCAGACTTTCAAGATAAATGAAAGGTCAACACACTTGAATACTTAACTCCCTGGATTCAAATAAGGCATTGATTCAAACCAGTTCTAAAGTAACTATACATTTGAGGAGATTAAAACACATCTAATTGTGCATTTACTCAGCGTTCAAAAGATTGGTAGTTGTATGAAGAAATTAAATAGCAATGTAGAAAATGAGCAACCGTGATTGCTACCAAATCATGCAACCAAACACACACACACAACCAATTTATCCAGATCCACTAGATGGATCATTCAATCTTTCAAATACATTTAACACTCTTATGCCAAATAGAAATGCTTTACATAAGAGTATGCTTAAACCTGCTTTATTAACTAATTTAATTCCCTCCCCTTAAAAATAACCTTCCATTATAATCACTCTTTATCTTGAAAAGTTACATTATAATCGCAAAGATTTACCTTATTCATTTCTAACTTTTTTTAACCGCTAATTTTAACTTCGATAATTAACTAACTATAAAGTAAATTATTTCATAATTTGAAATAGGATGATACGCATTATGCTGATAACATATCCAGGTTAGAAACAACTCCATATTTTTTGCCTTTAATTATAAACATTTTCACTTAATAGGCAACGATGGAACAAAAATGGAGAATAAAAATCAAAACTGGTTAGAAGACAAAAAACAGTAAAAAATATAATCAACATGTACACAATGAGCATAATAAAGGATTGTTGAATGAATATTATTCGTTATTGATTTTCATCATTAAAATGATCCGTTTGTATTATCTAATCAATGATAAGCATAATCACAAACAAAGTGAAAATAATGAATAATCATTTTTTTTATAAATCAAAATTTCGGATGGATAAAATCCAAACTGAAATAATATTCCACGATTTGATTTAATGTAAAATCATTAATTAAGTACTAATTTCTGTAATTGACTAATAATGCTAACAGATCATTTCGGTTGAATTAGATAAACTAGTATTCAAATATGAAACCTACTGAATAAAATAACTAAAAAGTAAATGAAATGCAATAAAATTTCAGTCAGAAACAATGTAGTACAAGGCACTGTTGTGTGTTGTCTTGTTTGATGGGAAAATCAAACACGAAAAGTAGATCATGAATCAATCTAAGTTAGACCACTATTAAAAACTTGAAAGTACTGGACGGATGTTTCATCCTAGTGTGGGACTCCTCAACAGTGTGAATTCACACCGCCACAAGCGGGATTCCAACTTAAGTCCTTCAATCATCTGTGAATAGAAATTTCCGGAGGTCTAATGAAAAGCCGTGATCAATAGAGCTAAACTGTGTCGAGTGTAGAGACAGTTACTCACCATCGAAGATAGTTGGACAATGTCTTGGAATGATTAAAGTTAGACATTAACACCGTTGGATGCCGGTTAAGGGGTTTAGGAGTTTGACGTTCGCGCGCGAGACTGGAGGTTTTGAGTTTGGCTCCCGTGTGCGGAGGCATGGATTCACACTGCTGAGTCCTATACTAAGACAAAACGGCCGTCCAGCGCTTTAAGGTTTTCAACGGTGGTCTAACTTAGATCAGTTCAGGATTCCAGTGAGATTCAACAATCCCCATAACCTCATACTAACGAAAATGGGATTAATGATAGTAAATATTAATGGTAGTGATAACTTTAAAGTATTTTAAAAACATGGATTTACATTGAGTAAAACAGATATCAAGTATTAACAGTGATATATAGATTGAACAAGGGTGTGTATCAAGTTAACAATACTATAATTGTGGGAAAAATTGAAGTTAAATGATAATTGTCTGATAAAACACTATTTATTAAGAAATCTCTTCAGTGTAACTACGAATTACCTACCTGAAAACTGATATCCGCGAATATTTCGCGTATGAGGATTTGTTCGACAAAACGACTTGTTATTCGAAAAGACTAATTCCAAATTTGTCTGATAATTATCATTTAATTTGGGCGTGATAAGGAGAAATACAGCTGCGTGCGGATGATGATGATTTATATCAGATTGTAGTGAAGACATACTCTTCACAACACTGCTACTCGTTATGTTTCTATATGAATTATCAGACAGAAATGATAATGACGATGATGGAGGGGAATTCGGATTCACTGATGAATTCCAAATATGATCACTCAGAATCTGAATTAAATTAGAGAAATTTAACTGGAAAAAACAAAAAAGTAAAGTTTATTGACTATAAAGACATTTTTACATTGAAAAATATTGATATTAGCATAATGAATATAAAACTAGGTTTGTAAAAATTTCAGCCAAAATGAAATTAAACAATTTCAACTATTCACCAAACAGTTTGATTTGAACTTTTATGATTCTTTTCATGATGATGATGATCATCATCAACACTAACATCGTCACTGATTGAAAGAAAGCCCAGAAAGTTCATAAAATCTAGTTTATAAGGAATAGTATCTTAAAAAAGTGATTCATACCGCCTATAAAATGTTTCTAATATAATTTATTTTGTGATGTTTAAACTTTGTATAAAACTATAATGTAATGTTATCAATATCAGATATAGTAGTAAGCGAGTAAAATTTCTTCAACTAGACTATAGCCCATAACTTGTATTATATATATATATATATATATATATATATATATATATATAAAACTGAATACAGCAAATCCATACTTGATCTATTGTATGTAACTCCAGATATCAGTACATCGTCGTAAGAAACAAAAAAATCAAAGTTAACATGATAAACAAATACTAGGACTCGAGCAAAATTTTCATTTGTACCAGTTTCACCATATATTAACTGTAGTCATTGTTTTTACTTCGTGACATAAAAAGTCGCCATTTACAGAGGTAGAAGATTTACAATCTACAATCTACATACGCTGAATCATTGTAAACTTCTTACGTTACATTGACGTTTTTCATGTTATGACAGTGTACAACATAGTACTTTGTCGTAAATACGACAGCTTGAAGAGAATGTAGATTAGATGTCCACAAACACACACACACACGGATAAACGAACACAACAAATTAAGCGAGCTAGTTAGTCCAGATCAATTAGCAACCAGCTTATTATATCAAGTACAGTTAAACTGCATTTTGCCATTCAAAATAATATCAGTACATTCAGCACACACTTGGTTAAACGATTTGAAACAAATGATAAGTTGAAACAACTGAAATATAATCCTGCAACCTAATATTTACTAAATAAATGAGCGTTGAGATAGTATGCTCATATATAATCTCAAAATAGTTACAATGACATTTAAGCCTTTTCTATAATAACAAACAGCTAAATTATTATCAATAACATGTAGTGGGCAATGCTAGAAATGCGTTGGTAACTAACTTTGAAGTAGTATGCCGATCGGAGTATTAATTAAATGAATCCATGTTACAGTGATCAGATAAAGACATGAAATCAATCTCTTGAATTCGTAACAGTTTATTTGAATAGTGTAGGATCATTAAAGCGGCGAAAATCGGTGAACGGATGAATGAATGGATGCTGAGTGGTGTGTGGTTTGAATTTGTTTACAGTGAGACAGATATTAGATTTAACTATCATTTTGCTTAAAAAAAAATAATAGCTACCTTATTGTTCTAAGATACTCCTTTACGAACTTATTATGTCGATCAATATGATTGACAGGTTTAGATTAAACGAAAAGAGAATATACTGTCAGTTCAATTCACTAACAGTTATCTTAGGGAAAAACAGAACAGAAAAGATTCAAATGAAATCGATTCAATTAGTTTCTTTAAAACTATTATATTGACTTCACCGCTAAATATACAAAATAACATATTGAACTCTATTGAGAACAGTTACTTCTTATAGGAAAAAACTGAATAAATAGAATAGGTTATGTAAACATTGAAGCGACTCATTTACGAAGTACACGGATTTATATACTCGGTTGTGAGCTACATTACAAGTATGAAGGCTTTCGAGATTAACCGGTTACTCGAATCGAAGTAAAGCAGAGTTTAAGCCAGTAGTCTAAAATTTGGAATTGGACTGATGAAATCACTAACTTTAAAACATGTATTTTTATTGTCTTATTCAACCGATTATCATCTTCCTATTATGGAACCCCTTGGCAGCATACACACTCTTGCGATAACAGTAACTGTCAATTTTACATTAAATGATCGTAGCGCCATATTGCGAATCGACTAAAGATGGAAATGTGTAATATCTGAACCAAAACCAATAGTCCAAATGATAAACACTCCCCAAGGTACCTAAACGTTATAGGATCAACTTCCAGTAAGGTTATGGGTGGGCACTGGTGAGAAATTCCATACCAAGAAAAATTATCTGTCTAGTTTTCTCTCGTTATCAATGATAATCCAGCTGAGAAAAATTCGTGAAGATACACCACTGACAGATTCGAACCATTCCCACCAAACCATTTCAAGAATAAATATGACAGGATATTTTAAAAATGAAAAATTTAATAATAAAGGGAAACTAATAAAAACCAAGTGGATTTTTGTTGTCAGTGTATAGAATGAAAAAAAGATAATAAAAGTTAATGTATGAGCAAAAAAGTAGAATAGATATTTTTAGTATATGGTAGTTGACGATTTTCCTAGACGTACAAAAAAAAACATTTGTGATTTTAGGATTGTAATGAAAGAGATGACGTCCAATCTTCGCTTTTTAGTGAATTTCTTCTCGGTATTATAAATGATTTTGAGATTTAAAAAACTTTGCTAGAATACAATGATTAATGTTAACTAAAATTTTAGAATAGAAAATTTTATGGTAAACATATTACTTTATTTTTTACAATCTCAACAGATAAGTGAAATTGTGCAGAAATGTAAATCAATATGCCTAATTCTGTAAGATCAAATGAATGATGTTACATACATACATCGAGTTGTTCAGTGAAAAGGTATCCTCCATTTTACTGTTTTTTTAAAAACAAGGAAACAAAAAGTATCATTCCCATCACTGATTTAGGAAAAAGGATAGTTTGATAAACTTGAAAATGAACTTTAAAAAACTAACCACTGGATCAATAAACAAGTACATATTTATGTAGAACAATGGTTTCAGTGTAAGTCATTTGTCTGATAAGTGAATCGAAAGCCAGGAAAAACTTCTGGTGGAGTTGTATTCTTTGAGCTGCATGGTTTATTCGTGAAGTCTTCATTGTCTTTCTAGACAAAATTATCACCACCAACTTCAAATAAAAGACATGTGTGATTAGTTTACATTAATTCCAATCGACTTTCATTTGTTACTCACATAGGCATACTTATCGACGTCCGACAATGGTGGTATTTCTTGACTTAAAGGCAGTATTAGACTCCGTAGACCGCGAGATTCTGTGGCAGTGTCTGTCATTGAAAGGCGTACCCCAGAAGTACATAAACCTTGTGAAGGCTCTTTACTCGAACACTACTAGTCGAGTCAGGGCTTATGGCGAACTGTCATCTACTTTTGCAACCTCAAGTGTTGTCCGTCAAGGCTGTCCACTTTCTCCATTTTTGTTTAACTTCATCATAGACTTATTAATGGAAATAACATTCTCGTCTACTGAATTCTCTGGTATTGATCTCCTTCCAGGAGGTCCACTTATCGACTTAGAATACGCAGATGACATAGTCCTGTTTGGTGAAGACGCTGATAAAATGCAGTCTTTTGGTAGCACTAAGCAACAAAGCCAGAATGTTTGGAATGCGCTTTTCTCCCTCTAAATGCAAGTTGTTGCTTCGAGACTGATCTGCGTCAACACCTGAACTAAGGATAAGGAGTGAAGTAGTCGAACGCGTTGACAACTTCTTGGAAGTCTGATCAGCCCTAATGGGTTGGTGTCTGACGAAATCTCAGCACGGATTCGAAAAGCTCGTTTGGCTTTTGCCAACTTACGTCACCTGTGGCGAAGGCAAGATATCCGTCTATCAATTAAAGGACGAGTATACTGCGCGGCAGTTCGTTCTGTTTTAATTTACGGCAGCGAAACATGGCCTTTAAGAGTAGAAGACACTTGTAAGCTACTAGTATTTGATCACAAATCCCTTAGAAAAATTGCTCGCATCTGCTGGGATCACCGGGTAAGTAATAGGGAGGTTAGACGCAGGGTATTAGGGAATGATGGTAAATCAGTTGACGAGGTTGTGAATCTTCATCGACTGAGATGGTTGGGCCACGTGTTACGTATGCCTGAACACCGATTACCACGACATGCAATGCTGACTAGTGTTGGGGATGGTTAGAAGGATGTTAGGGGCTGACAAACCAAAACGTGGCATCAGTGCTTGAAGTCACTAACTTCTAATCTGAGCCATGTTGGTAGATGCAGACTACTTGGTTGGGGTCCGCGTGACTATCGTAACCAATGGTTGGAGATTCTTGGTGACATAGCTCAGAATCGATCACAATGGCGTTGGTGTATACACTCTCTGTCTTCTCTCAAATTAAGAGATTAAAATCGCTTCATACCTTTCTTTCTATGAACTAATTGTTTCTTCCTGTACTACATCCTTATATGCGATTTTATTTTATATATTACCACCTCTGAATTAACTACTTTTATGAATCCGGTGTCCATCTTGTTGTGTTAATGAGGTATGGCAACTTGGACCGATGCGTATATGTGCCTGGTCCTACGTTGTAGCTGACCGATAGTTACTCACATCGTTTGATCCTTTCTTTTTGAAATATTCTGTCAAGTTCTTTCCATGGATTTTGAAACCTAGATGAAGCGATTTTGTGGAGACTGTTTTAATCTGTAAGTAGTATATGTTCACCCATTGATATCAACTAGGATACCACTTAAAACAAGAAGGACAGGTTTCTATAAAAAGTTTGTGATGATGTCGTCTAGAAAGACAATCAACGTGTCAAGATTAAATAATCCAGAATAGACAATAGAACTCTACCAGGATCATCCTCCTAAGCTACAAATCCTCTTCACTGTCCCTAGGAAAGACTTTCAAGAGATTGGTCGGATGTCAAGGGGTGCTTACGGAAATAATGCATCAAAGAAAAAACCACTTTCCAACAAAATCAAGTCATTTAGGGAAGTTGATAAAGACCAGAACAAAAGTAGACCCTCTAGTACTGATTAAAACATACTTTTTGTGACCTAGTTGTCTATCCACTCTCCGAATGATCAGTGAGATACTGAAATTAAGAAAATAGTCTATGTTCACCACTATGAAAAGACATGACAATATAGAGCAGCTGTAAAACGAGACTTTTGGGATGTCTTAAACAATAGAAGCAGAGCCGAGACAACTGTATTGTGAATAAGATTGATGTGTTTTGAAGTTTGTGAAATAAAGTTTCTATGACTTCAGTTCCATTATTTATTGGACACCCTAACCATATACCAGTAGTCTACAAAAAATATGGTCGCAAGTAACGCTCAGAAAAGCTAATTTAAAGTTTAAACATATTTTCTCATTTTATCTTAAGTAGATATTTTTGATAAATTGGAAAGCAAATAATTTTATTCTATGGATGAATTTGATGTTACGATTAAGAGTAAGACAGTGAGATGTTTTGCAATCTGAATTGGTGTACAAAATCGAAGAGATCTAATAATCATGTAACTATGTTGTTCACTCCTGTAGACAGATACATGTTTATATGAATAATTGAATAAATATAATGTAATTTTGTAAAACAATCACATAAGTGATAACTTACATCGAAATTTAGAATTTGGTCAACACCAGGCTTCATGATATGTTTTGGGAAATTACTAACTATAAAAAAGCAATATAAAAATAAATTCAGTAAGGCGAAACATAGTTAAGTGCTTATGTTCAATATTTTTAACTACCGTATTATCGGGTTTGAATAATACTTCATCTATCAGGGTGTAAGCACAATCGTATAGCAGTACCATCAGTCTTCAACATAGTTTAGTTTACAGATTACTATATTATTATAATTAGTACAACTTAATCATTTGAAAAAATTGAAAATGGATTTATTCTGAGAAACCCTAGGGCATCGAAAATTACAGAACTATTTTCATCTTTTGAAATAGTTTAGAAACATAAATATCCCAACTTATAATCAATAAGGTACGAATCTGGTAGGCAAACTAGTTTATGATATGTTAACAACCTGAATTCAAAACGTAACACAAATACAAATTCGGTGGTTTTTCATTCACTGAGCTCTGTGGTTTAACTGAAAAGATTTCATTGTCGACGTAGACGACATTTCCAACTTCTACTACAAATAGATATGAACACTGATATAATTATTCAACAAGGATATCAAATCAAAGCCCAGAGAACGCAACACAATCAAATAAATCCATTTAAGCTTTTGAACATTTTAAGAGCTTGAAACAAAAGTAAAACATTTTAGTAATTTGTATTGTTTAACAATCTTATTAGTCGGTATTTCATCATTTTATCACAAATTATCGTGAAAATGCTTATCATTTTAAGGATATAAAAATCGATTGAAGCGAATATCCCTATTCTAATTTTTCCTTAGTTTGATATAATTCCAAAGAAATTCATAATATAAAAATATCCCATACATGTACAAGGTTGAATTATCCTAGTAGGATGTGCTGTAAGCTATAAAAGGGAAAACAAACAGTATCTCCAGAGCTGGTTTCCAATAAGGAATGTCATCATTGATTAAAGCATTACCATGTACCCTTAGTTTGTTACTACTTCTCATTAGTACACAACCACGATACCAAAGAAAACATGAAATGTCAGCTTAGAATCACTGTTATGATCAGTCCCCGATTACTATATGTATATTCTACGAGCAAGCCAAAAAACAGCCCCACACAAATTCAAAGTTATTGAATCATTTTGCCCACAATTATCTGGAAAATAAATCTCATCATATTCGTTACGTCGTAGATGGTAGTCTTCACGGATTGACCGCAGTTAGTGCTTCAATGAAAATCAAGAAGCATCCGATAGATATTTAGTTCTAGTATAAAAGCCGTCAGGAGTGTGGACCCATTATCCAGTCAGAGATCGAATCTATATCTCACATCAAGCAATTAACATTTTACCAAGTGTCTTAACCAAGTTTTCTGAATATGAAATGTATACTTATTTGATTTTCACCGATATTACACATTTATTTAAAACTAAAAATACCCAAAGGTTATTTAGTTGACCTGAAGAGAATAAGTATTGGGATTTTTATTGCGAAAATATCTTAAAGTACAAACGTCTAACTATTTAAATCGTTTAATCATTTAGTGAAATGAAATAACACAATGATTATTATTTACTGAATAATTCTACTATATAATATTAAAACAAATACAAGTCAAATAATTACTATATATTGCACGATTCCTTTTTTTGGGAATCGATTAATGAGCTAGTGTGCATACAATGGAATACAAAAATAGTTGTTCAAACATGATACACATGTGGTGTATGCCACTTATGTTGACAGATATAAGTAGCATATAACACAGCTCAGAAGTGGAATGCCTATCAAAAGAAGGTTGAGAAGATTGAACTGAAGAAAAAGAAACATAAAGGAATCGAGAATTGAAAGAATCATGAAGGATGTAAACGAAAACTAATGGAAGATGTGCAAATGGAGTATTTAATTTACGAAGACACCCTGTAAATATAAAATGGTTATCCGCACCACAGATGGATCGAGAAAAAAAAGGATTTTAAAGATAAATAAGTTATATCAATGTTATTAATGTTTAATTTATAGAGATAATCAATAGAATAGAATTTTTAATCGGATTGAATTGGTAACGTTGTACAACAGTTAATGGAACCATAACAATCATTTTTATTAATCTTGACTATTCATGACATAAAAACAAAATTACAAAGAGAATAAATAAATCCGTTAATTAAACTTACACATATTCACTAACTGTTCAACAAGTTGAGCATAAGTTAATTCATTACGATCATTTTCACTTAGATTAGGTAATGGTAAACAAAGTTTATTCTCATGAGTTAATAAGGGTACATTCAAATAATGAAATAATACAATAGAAGGATTCTATGAAAAGAAAACACAGCAAAAACATTGGTTTATTAATTAAAATCAGTAGTAATAATAGCCAGTGAACACGTAGATTCAATGAAAATTGATGTTTTTAGGAGAAAATGGATATATTTCTGTATTATGTACTGACTAAATCACTAAATTAATCATTATTATGTCTAAAACCAATCCATAAAATGAATTTTCATCGACTGAGGTGGTTGAAAAATGTATGATGTGTATCATTTACTGTTTCACTGAGCTATGTCAGTAGATGCAGATTATCTGATTGGGGTCCGCGCGATTACTGTGACCAATGGTTGGAGATGTTGCGTTATGAAGCTAAAAATCGATCGCAGTGGTGGAGATGCACTCATTCTTTGGCTTCCATTAGATTTTGAGCTGGAAAATTATCACCCATTGTTTTGTGACCTTTATTTTCATTTATAAATATTCACTAGTTAACTGACAAGTAATTTATCAAATTATTGTGATTGAATATGCTGAGCATGAATTACAGCTTAAATTCACTTATAATGGAGCAGTGTATCAGTGGTGACGGTGTACGAATTTCAACAGGTTTGAATCCCTCCCCAATTAATTTGGTCTAAGTAATCGAGTATTCTACTATAGTATTAACTCCGCCTGGAGTCCCTCCGGGGGCTACTGCCGGTCCCAAGCCCGGATAAAGGAGGAGGGTTGGGCATGGGGTTAGCGTCCCTATCCAATAGAAAACTAACTCGCTAAAAGAACGCTAACCAGAAAAAATTATTCAAACCTTTTAAACTCTGCCCTGGGAGTCAGAAGGTCTTCACTTAGAAGAATTATGACGCCTCATGATGAAAGCCGAATTCCTTCGGAAGTTACGAGGCCGATGCCCCTTCTGACAACCAGAGCAACCATTTATTTAGGTACATGGAATGTTCGTACAATGTGGGACATCGGAAGAGCCTTCCAGATTGCTGCAGAAATGAGAAGATACAACCTAGAGGTACTTGGGATCAGTGAAACACATTGGACACAAGTTGGACAACAACGACTAACTACAGGAGAGCTCCTGTTATACTCCGGCCATGAAGAAGAAAATGCACCACATACACAAGGAGTTGCATTGATGCTGTCCAAACAAGCGCAAAATGCGCTTATAGGATGGGAATCTCATGGACCAAGGATCATCAAACCCTCGTTTAAAACAAAGAAAGAGGGTATTTCAATGAACATCATCCAATGCTATGCGCCTACCAACGACTATAATGAAGACGCTAAAGATCAATTCTACAATAGGTTGCAGTCAATCGTCGAGAAGTGCCCAACAAAGGACCTGACCATTCTGATGGGAGATTTCAACGCCAAGGTTGGAACGGACAACACTGGATATGAAGACATCATGGGACGACACGGACTAGGAGAAAGAAACGAAAATGGTGAGAGATTTGCAAATCTATGTGCCTTCAATAAGCTGGTCATAGGCGGCACCGTATTCCCACATAAACGCATACACAAAACCACATGGACTTCACCGGATCACTCTACACAAAACCAAATCGACCATATTTGCATCAACAAAACGTTCAGGAGGACTATAGAGGACGTGAGAACCAAGAGAGGAGCTGATATAGCATCAGATCATCACTTACTGGTCGCCAAGATGAAATTGAAACTCAAGAAGCACTGGACAACGGGGCAGACAGTATCACAAAAGTTCAATACGGCCTTTCTCCAGGATACTAACAAACTCAACAAATTCAAGATAGTCCTCAGCAACAAGTTCCAGGCCTTTCATGATCTACTCAATGGAGAAGGAACTACTGTGGAGAGCAACTGGAAGGGGATCTAAGAGGCAATCACTTCAACATGTCATGAGGTCCTGGGTCACAAGAAGCACAATCACAAGGAATGGATCACTGTTGGTACACTGGATAAGATTCAAGAAAGGAGGAACAAGAAGGCAGCGATCAATACCAGCCGAAAAAGAGCAGAAAAAGCCAAGGCACAAGCTGAATACACGGAAATAAACAAACAAGTGAAGAGGAGCATCAGAACCGACAAACGTAAATATGTGGAAGATTTAGCAACGACGGCGGAAAAGGCTGCAAGAGAAGGAAACATGAGACAATTGTATGACACGACAAAGAAACTCTCTGGAAATCGCCACAAACCAGAACGACCAGTGAAAAGCAACGCAGGCAAGGTAATCACCAACATTGAAGAGCAACAAAACAGGTGGGTAGAACACTTCAAAGAACTGTTGAATCGACCAGCTCCACTGAACCCACCCAACATCGAAGCAGCACCCACGGACCTCCCAATCAATGTTGGCCCACCACCAATTGAAGAAATCAGCATGGCCATCAGACAAATCAAGAGTGGCAAAGCAGCAGGACCGGACAACATCCCAGCTGAGGCACTAAAAGCAGACGTAGCGGCAACTGCAAGGATACTCCACATTCTCTTCAATAAGATTTGGGATGAGGAACAAGTACCAACAGACTGGAAAGAAGGACTTCTAATCAAAATACCGAAGAAAGGCGATCTCAGCAACTGTGATAACTACAGGGGCATCACTCTTCTCTCAATACCGGGAAAAGTCTTCAACAGGGTATTGTTAAACAGGATGAAGGACTGCGTAGACGCCCAACTTCGAGACCAACAGGCAGGATTCCGTAAGGATAGATCGTGTACAGACCAAATCGCAACTCTACGGATAATTGTGGAACAATCAATTGAATGGAATTCATCACTCTACATCAACTTCATTGACTACGAAAAGGCATTTGACAGCGTGGACAGAACAACACTATGGAAACTTCTTCGACACTAGGGCGTGCCTCAGAAAATAGTCAATATCATACAGAACTCATATGATGGATTACACTGCAAAATTGTGCATGGAGGACAGTTGACAAAGTCATTCGAAGTGAAGACCGGTGTTAGGCAAGGTTGCTTACTCTCACCCTTTCTCTTTCTCCTGGTGATCGACTGGATCATGAAAACGTCAACGTCTGAAGGGAAGCACCGGATACAATGGACATCTAAGATGCAGTTGGATGATCTAGACTTCGCAGACGATCTGGCCCTTCTATCCCAAACGCAACAACAGATGCAGGAGAAGACAAACAGTGTGGCAGCAGCCTCAGCAGCAGTAGGTCTCAACATACACAAAGGGAAAAGCAGGATTCTCCGATACAAGACAGCATGCACCAATCCAATCACAATTGACGGAGAAGATTTGGAAGATGTTAAAACCTTTACATATTTGGGCAGCATCATTGATGAACAGGGTGGATCTGATGCAGATGTGAAGGCGCGGATCGGCAAAGCAAGAGCAGCATATTTACAACTGAGGAACATCTGGAACTCAAAGCAACTGTCAACCAACATCAAGGTCAGGATTTTCAATACAAATGTCAAGACAGTTCTACTGTATGGGGCAGAAACCTGGAGAACTACAAAAGCCATCATCCAGAAAATACAGGTGTTTATTAACAGTTGTTTACGCAAAATACTTCAGATCCATTGGCCAGACACTATTAGCAACAACGTACTGTGGGAGAGAACAAACCAGATCCCAGTGGAGGAAGAAATCAGGAAGAAGCGCTGGAAGTGGATAGGACACACATTGAGGAAAGCACCCAACTGCGTCACAAGACAAGCCCTCACATGGAATCCTCAAGGCCAAAGGAGAAGAGGAAGAACAAAGAACACATTACGCCGAGAATTGGAGATAGACATGAGAAAAATGAACAAGAATTGGATGGAACTAGAAAAGAAGGCCCAGGACAGAGTGGGTTGGAGAATGCTGGTCAGCGGCCTATGCTCCATTGGGAGTAACAGGCGTAAGTAAGTAAGTAAGCAAGTAAGTAAGTAAGTAATCGAGTATTAGTACTAACCCTCAGATTAGGAGTGTGGTTCGAAGTCATGTACATTAATCAGTACCTGGTAAATGGGCTGAGCATATATATATATATATATATATATATATATATATATATATCGATTAGTGATTTTGTGTTTTGTAAACTAAATAATTGGAAATCAGTCAGTCAGTAACAACGTAGAACTTCGTACGTACGTACATCAGTTCGAGTAGTTTACACCTACCAACATGACTCAGTCCACTTGTCAGTGACTTCGTGGATTTGTGCTACGCTTCGATCTGACCGCTTCTAGCTTTCTTCCAACCTACTCCTACGCCATAAAACATCGCACGTCGGAGCAGTGGGTGGTTGGGAATACGTAACACGTCCCAGCCATCTCAACTGATGAAGTTTTACTACTTCATCAATTTATTTAATTGGGAATCGGAAAATCGATTTCGTGAGCACATCATTAGTTTCGCTATACCAGTAATTATAATATTTTATCAAGTCAACAATGTCGTAAAAACGATCTGTTTATAACATAGCATGAAAGTTATTACAACGGTTGAAAAATAATGCTTTTAAATGAAAAACCGGAGTAAATTATTATTAATTAACGTGTGCATGTAAAATAAATATACACCGGTAATATGATATTCAATCGGATAAAAATGGATTATAACTTACAAATCTTAATGAATAGGTTCGTCGATGAAACGTAGAGATTAAAGCGGAATGTGCATAGTTGGCGATAATACACTGGAAAATATACCGAATGAGAGAGAAAAACATTATTATCTATTACTCAATCAAAGTAAAAACACTTTGAATAACACACGTTTTTACTTTAATTGATAGATTCCGTAAGAAAAATTACATGATCAACAAAAATAGGATATAGTAAAACAAATAGGTACAATATCAATGCAACATTTATAATGACAACTAACTCTGTAAATTATGAGTCATCCTTAATTCCTAGGAAAAGTATCCAGAAGAATAACGTGGAAAATACTTATCAATTAGACGTGCTAAGAATCTTCTAAAAAACTTATAAAGCAGTTCTTTAGGCTTTTATTTAATCTAAATGAATAATTTGAAAACTTATTAACAATTTTATTATCCTTTCTAAAAACCTCTCGAATCGCCAGGTCCCCTTCAGTTTTATACATACCCCTGTTTTCTGTACAGAAAATATCCTCGAAGTAGGCCTGGTTTAATATTCCTCTCCTCCCAATTTTTATTGCGAGTTCAAGTGTCGAAGAAATAGGTCAGTAATGGACATACGAATGATAGCATTTGTAACGTCAGCTGCTGTGAAACTGGTGTGAATACTAAAAGTAAATCTAGGAATCAATTTTTTTTAATTAGAACGCAATTATACACATCTTCATTCCGTATGTATCCGTGCAATCATACATGAAACTTATCATGTTAGCATAACATTTGTAAATATGAAATAAATCCTCCTATGAGCTAAAAACATTTCTCATCATAAGAAATACATTTTGCACATATTTCCTAAATCTGATTGAAACTTGCTAGGATAATCCATTAAGCGTTCCATGATGTTGGAAAATGTCTTTAAACTACATTTAGTCAAAGAGTCATCTGAAAAAAAGTCATTACACTGACCTCGATCCCTTGAACTTTAAGGACCATGTGAACTTCTTTAGTAGTACGTCGATTTGGTTTCTTTTTCCATAAATAACCATCTTGTTTACGTGCTACGGTGGCCAATTCTCGTCGATAAAAAATAATAGAACCATTTCTAGGACTGTTTTAAAATATTTCAATGAATAATAGTAAAAAGAATCTAAAAGACATGAAGCAATATGAAATTACTAATATTAAAATTTTCTAACAGCCTGATTATCCTTATAGATCGAAGTGCGTTCTTCAGTAGTCTACAGGATATATCTATAAATGCATATCTAAAGGCGACAGAACGTGTATACGTATTTCGAAAGTAAAAATGAATGAAAAACGAGTAATGGTTTTGTGTTTTTAGGCACAGTTTCCCCTTAAAAATAGAGGAAAATAAATGATTAACAATATTAACCAGTATTTTGACTAAATTCTGGAAAGGTCCTTTCTTCCTTCCTTCACATATCAAATAAAGTAACGACTAAGATGGACTCGATTCGACAAAGTTCAGTACTTATGTTTACGTATGATGGAAAATATGAGGCAGGTTAAACTGTTCTAGTTCTAATTTGTAATAAAACCCTTTCTGCATGACAGTAATATAATTGAATATTCGACTATAATTCAGTCACTAATCTAGGAGTCATGGCTACAACATGATTTTTTTTCAAATTAACTCCCTAATGATTTGAATACTGAACAATAACATTTCTCAAATGTGTTTAAAATGGTGAATAATGAGGTGTTAGGTTGTCAGATGGCTGGAAGAAATCAGTAGTAAGTTTTATGTTAGTTAGTACTGGTTAGAAAAACAAATACACAAACTTTGGATAAATAATGCTCTTTGTGGAATTTGAATCTATACACCTAAGCAGAAAGATTGAATTGTGATTAGTAATATAAGCTTGTGCGACTACAGAGTATTGTCCCTGCTTACATAATATATGCAGATGACATACTTAAACGGATCTTATTTCATTGAGTAGAATTTATTAACATTATAAAAGTACTTACCGAACTTGAATAACTGATGAAAGCCAGTTGGGGTGTACACATGCTCCTAGCAAAAGCTCAGCAACTTCCTTTTAATTTAAAAAAAAAGGATTATTCGAAAATGAAACGTTTTAAAGACAGTAAACAATTTTTACACATAACCATATCCTCAAAACACACGAAAACAATTCTTTAGTATAACACGTAATTAACTAACTGCTTTCGTTTCTTTAAAAAAATATTTGACAATAGACGTCTGTTATAATCACAGAAGAGGTGGTTATGAATGCTTAAATAATAATAATAATAATAATAATAATAATAATAATATTATTATTATTATTATTATTATTATTTATTCAATATTATATTTCGGTACAATATAGAATTCTCGGCACAGATGAAAATATTTATTATCATCCACAGACTGTGGTTTCTTTAAATAATAAATCATCAGTCTGGCATTTGTTCTTTGAAAACAAACTTGTTAACTCTGTGACAAGAGCCATTTGTTGTACTGATAAAACTATAATGGTATAAATTTGACATTCCGAATGTAGGGAAACTTCAGTGGAAAGCAATTAACTCATGAAGATTATGTCACTTATTTATCTTTTCACATACAAGTATGAGCTAAATAGTTATATATATAGTCCAAAATAGATACAAGTTAGACTCTTTCACGTTGATCTGATCAAAAATCACCTTAAAAACTGACCACCTGTCCATTGAACAACCTCGTAAGCCAAGCTTGTATCTGGCAAAATTACACATTCCATCGAAATGAAAAAGGTTCGCGAACACTAAACAATCAGGATTATCACACTTAACAATTAAGTATATAAGTAATTAGCTTTGTAATTAAATTAAATTCCACATACCTTTTGATTGCACCAAATAAGTTTACGTGCTATACATACTGAAGGAATCACAAGATTGCTTAAAGGTTGTGGAATATCGGATGAACATTGATTAAATGCTAAAACGTTATTATTACTATTACTGCTGTTATTGTCACCATGATGTGTAGTGTTAATAGCAGAAACACTACTTTTATGAATGTTATTATAACTGATTGGCAGATAATCTGGTGAAAATTCACTAGATTGACTTTTCATGTGGAAAAATCCATCTTTTACAATAAAAATGTAATCCAATCGTTTCTCCAGGTGAATAAATGGATTGATAGCGATAAGTAAGTAAACGATAGTCACAAAAATATGTGACCATATATAGCACCTATGGGTAATGATCCCAACGAATATTGAACCAAATCTAGGATTAGAAAATAACAATAATAATAACTTAATTGAATTGTAAGTAAAGATAAACTATAAAAATGGGCCAAAAGGACTTAACGAACAACAAATTACATAGTTTAATATTGCAATACACATTTACTTTAATTAAAAGAACTGGACATCTGATTCATCTTTTTAAGGTGATTCTTGCGAATACTATATACGATAATAAAAAAAACATACAAAATAAACAATACCATACATCGTTACTTACATGTCCTAATATAAAGTCTGGAATTGGTTCACTTAAAAAGCCTACGTTTGTACTACCGAAGAATTTGGCAGTAGAGTACTATAACCAAAGATGGTTGCGTAGGTTAAGTGAAATCAACAATGAGGATAAGATTTAACTCTATCCACTAATATTACTTTTGATAAAATATTGACTTTAAATAGTAACAGCTTCAAATTGTAAGAGAGGTTATAAACAGACAACATTAAGAACGGGCGAAACTCACTGCAGTACACAAACTATACGAAAAAATCGAGAAACTCAAGTTATCGGTCCTCCCTAGAAATGGCTATCCCAGGAACTTCGTCAAAATATATCCGGCGAATCGACATATCGTAGAGAAATCAACCCAAAAATCTAAGAAACATGTCGAAACGACAATAATTCTGAAACCTTTCCAACCAGTATCTCTCACAAACCAACGCGATTACTCCAGTCCCATTTATGCAGACTGAAAAAGCGCGATATCAGTCATTTAATTATATGTGATATAAAAACGACATCAAAAGAAGACAAATCCAACATTTCCAAAACAAATTGCGCCAACAGTAAGGAACACCATCCAGGACATACATAACACGCCTTCACTTACACAAACACGAACATTAATTAGTGGTGAAGCGATGTGTTGTGAAGACTAAAATCAATACACATAGACAATCATGAACACGTACTTGACTAAAATGTCGTAAATACGGATCGATAGAGTTCTGAGAAAATGAGTTTCTAAAAGCACGATAGTTAAGTTAGCTGGCAGCTGATAGGCACCGATGTGGATCCAATCTATCAAAGTCCAACTGAACAAGACAATCAGTAGAAATGCAAGGACATGTGAAAATACCAATTCATAAACAACGGCATCAGAATAAACTTATTTAGTATTGGCGGAACAAATGAAAAGTCTTGATGATGTTGCTTAGAACGATAAAAAAGCTTAACATATAAAGCATTTATCTACGAAAATATAACGTCAATAAAAAATCCACTTGAGCTCCATCGTTTTAATATCTGAGATTATTATTTCGTAATTTTTAACATACTTTTTTATAATCCCCAGACGATAAAAAGTTTGTAAAAATGCTTGGGATGTGTAAATGTTGAAAAGATCTTTATATCCAAAAAACAGTAGCCGTTGTAGATTATATCGGCCAAGAGTTTATTAAACAGAGCCTGGAAATTCGTCACTGAACCAAGTGACAAAGGAGCTGAAATGAATTTAGTTATATCCACTTTGATGAGGTGAAATAAAATACTAATCACTATCTGGAGTACTACAAATGCAAGTACTTATCATTAAATAAATGACAATATGAGCATCAAGAAAAAGGGTTTGCTGGGGAGTCTTATTTTTGTGGGTATTATAATGCTCCCTATTATAATCATGTGCCAGTCGGTAGATGGTCATCATTAACATAGGGTTTGGCATAAGTGTACGTCACACCACTTTACCATACTGCATTAGCACGAGATGAAATTAACAAGATGAGTATCATAGGAATCAAAATAATGTAGTACTAGGAGACTAAACATTGAGAATGATTTAAAAATAAAGAACTAAAAGGCATATACATAAAAAAATTTCGGGACTAAAGATCTGGAGGAAGATAAAGGGTGAATGGGTTGTGTGGTCATGAACGATTCTAAGGGAATTCACCTAACGTCTTCAACTACTGATCACAGTTAACTCATGGAACCCAAGAAAGTAGTCTGCAACTACCTACATGCCTCAAATCAACAGTCATAGACTTTATTTCTTGATTTAGTCACCCTTAGCTTTCTACTAACCTACTCATAAATCAGCTAACATCCCTTGTCGAAGCAAGTGGTGCATAAAGAATACGTAATATATGTACCAACCACTTCAGTCGATGAAGATTTATAACTTGGACGACTAATTCGAGTAGACAGCCTTTAAATGTATTTGTTTATTTGGGAGACTTTTCAATAACAAAAATTGCCGTAAAACCATCTGGTCAACGAAATTGAACGATACCTTAACGTCGAAAAGTACAACTAAAGTGGGGCGTCGGTAAATAAACTTATTTTCTAAAATCGGATGGAGAACAAAAATTTGGTCAATGCATCCACGTTCATGTCTGAAACCAGATTGTTCTTCCCAGGGTCGTTCTTCACGAGCGCTAGTTGAGCGTCTGCTAATCATGGAGACTAGTATTTCAGATACTATACTGGTCAAACTGATTCCTATATGATTGTTATGAGACGATTTCTGCACTCTTTTAAAAACTGGGACGATCAGTCATCGATACTAGTTAAATAGGATTACATCTATTTCCCGAAATCTAGCTATTATCTTAGACATCTTATTCGCTACAACTGAAAAACCACCTGTGAATATCTCTGGAGTTAATCCATCATGGTACACTGCTCTCTTCAGCTTTAAAATGGATATAGCCTTTTCAATCTCATTAAGAGTTGAAAGACTTGTGTCGATTTCCCATTCAAGTTGTTTGGAGATATCGGGTAACTGGAGGCTAGTTGGACTGTTCCTCAAAGTGTTTTCCTCATAGGTTTAATCTCCTAGACAGGGAGTAAAGAGGAACCGTCTTTTTCCGATAGTCCTAATACCTGTTTTCTTGATCAATCGGAATAGTTGCCTAATATTATGTATAGTCCCTTCCTTTTCTATCCCTTTTGGATTCATCATTCACCACTGACCGCGATAATCTGTAAAACGTCCTGTTAGTTTACGCTTAAGTTATCGCCACTCTTCGTTTTTCTTCGAGCCTAGCTAGGTGAGTTTTCGAACATCTATAAATTCAGTAGGTGATACTAAAGTCCAAAGATCTTTCGCAACCTTTTGATATGAGCTGTTGGTAGATGCCACTGCTATCTTTACAGCTAGATGTGCATTTACCCAAGCTTTTTCAGGATGAACCGTTTTTCTACGATCGACGAGATGCTAAGCAAATTCTTTCCTGAATGCATGCCTAACATTCACATTTCCGGATTGATATCTGAAGGATCTTTCTGTTTTGACTTGCCTATATCCAGTAAAAATGCATAGAAATACGTGTTTTGGCTATGGCATGATCGGAGTCTATCCGGATACTGTAGGAGTGAAAATCTACAAAGCCTGTCCAAAGACGGTTGATAGCAATCGAATGCGTCCAGTGATGTGCTAATATTTCGGGCTTCCAGATGAAATAATATCTCCCTCTATGCCAAAGGCTTGTACTTGCTAGGAATAATAGATTATCTGAGGACAATTGCAGCAGATGGTCATCATTAATTGCTTACTGACCGCGAACACTATGAGACCAAACTAATCATTTTTTCAGTATGGCATGGACGTTAAAATCATTTGCTAAGATCACCAATTCCGAGAGCCTAGTTTTTCCGTAGGTTCTAATGCTCTTTAGTAAAACTCACTTATTGCAGTCGGTGGGGACACAGACAGAGACGATAAAGAGGTAATGACATGTCTGTCTTTTCAAGTTTTCACCGTACTATTTGCGACAGACGGAGCATAAGCGACTATCGACAGGGATCTAGACAAGACGTATTTGTTCTGTCTTCAGACTTGATGCTATATTTGCACTATCAAGGCCACGAGAAATTTTTGTCACGTGTTCAGATACAAGAAGGGTATATTGTGTTGGCTCTTTATAGTAACTAAACTACGTTAAGTGAAGGACCACACTACGATAGGTGTCTTAAAGACGAAGCATATATCAATTTCGGAACCCCAAAAAATATGACTTGTAGTGGTCAGGATACAGTAATGTCTGATCGACTGAGACAAAATAGCGGGGAACAGCCTCTGGAGCTTTCAATTTGTGCTCACATCCGCTCAGTCTTCAAATAATTCTCTATTTTTAATGCTCACTACTTATGCATCTATTCGGAAATCATCTAACGAACTATCTCAAACTATTGAAACCTGCAAAATTTTATCTTAATATTCACGAAAAATCAATGAGAACTCGCTACAGTAACTGCTTTATTTCTTACTGTTTACAGGCTTTCATACATATAAAAAGCATTGTTATAGGGCACGTAACAGACCTATGAAAGTTTCGATGATATACAAAGTTCCAATCCCTGAAGGAAATTGTGATAACGCAAAATCCAAATTAGGTCTGAGAATTATTATGAAGACTTTGGAAATCGGAAGCAAATCTAATGATAAAAGAGCTCATGTGCCGAACGTTCTATGTATGATTAAAGTGGAGTTCGAGGATACTGGCACAAACACTTGCGTATTGAAAATAGAAATTTTGTGCTGTTCCTTCTGGTAAACATGATATGAGCAAAACTTATTATACAGTCCTAAACAGATATACGCCTGAAAATCACTTCTTTCGTGTAAGCTGAGAGTCCGAGGTGTCTAGCCTTAAGACAAAGAAGACTTGTAGGCGGGAAGTTCACATGAATGCTTCCAGTTGTTACGTACGATTAACATAACCATAGTACGACGGGAAATAGATACAACTAAATGCCATTTTCTGAGAGATCGTGATCTTGGGAACTACCTAAAAACGTGGATACTTGCAAGTAATATGCTGAATGCTAAATACACAAAACTGACAATAGTTAAACTGGTTACGTGCTCAGACAACCTGGCAACTAAAAGCACTTTACACCTGTTAACAATTTGAGAGGGTCCTTTAACATCGATTTTTAAAATACGATATTGGATAATTACCCAACCTCATATTACTGGATATGACGTGATGGAATGAGAACGGTAGCAGAGAAATTTTACAAAGTTTATCTAATCTCTATTACTATTTTCAAATAATGACATATTTGATCTGCCACATTGAAGACGATTATTCACCACTGGGAACACCCGAAATACCGGATAACACCTACGAATTTGGCAACAAAATCCCAACATAAAAATGGAGTTTTTCGGTCTAATACCGAGTTAAAACCTATTAAAACTGATCATGGAATATGACTCGTCTGAAAGTTACTGGAACAACATACTAACGCTATCATCAGTTTGAACAACAGACTTTGAGCCACCAGGGTGTTTTACTCTGGAAATTAATGGCTTGGGTAAAAGGAACGACTATTAAAATTTACTCACCTGACTAACTAGATAAATATAAGTGCAAAAAGAACCAACAAATTTTACACCGCCCAGCAAGAATTAAAAGACAAACCACATATTCATAGACACAAAACAGAACGAAAAGTTCGAAGAAACATAAAAGCAATTATAGCTATGAGGGGAAGAAAAGAAAACAAGTCAACTGCAGTAACGCAACGAGTAGCGAGTACACTGAATACAGCGGTTTTATTGTGCACATATTTTAAAGTATACGCTCAAAAAGTACTATTAAAATTTGTTTTTAGGTAAAACGTCTATATATGTTGTATCGTCTCCTACGTCTTAGCCCACCCAATGGTTTCTTTCTTCTTGGCCAATAGTGTAGGTCTGAATCAACTGGATCAAAGTAATCATAAGGATCAGGTTGATAGGCGTCCCCATATGGCTGATTAACTCCATCATCACCATATTTGTACGGAGGTGGAATTTCTCTCAACCATCTTGGAACATAACTACCGATATACGGCCTTTGATAGGGCTTAGGATATAAATATTTACGAAATATTTCCGGATGATGTAAGGCTAGGTATGACAAAACAGATTCTACAGTTTGCTGAGTAAGTGTGGCAGTTGGAGAAACTGAAGACCCTGATTTTACTCCTGGTGTAACTGGTAAAACTCCACCTGGAAATCCAGCATTTCCTGGCTGTGTGACAGATGGAGTACCCCCAGGGAAAGAAGCAACAATTATGTTGTCTGATGGTGAGCTGATACCGGGTACAATTGCTTTCCCTGGGGGAACAGTAGGAAAATAACCTGGAAATCCATATTGCGGACGATATGATGGGAAGATTCCAACAACTGAAGATGCTGGTTGGATATTTGAGTTTCGAGTTCCAGCTGCAAAATCTTCACCCCCTGCATTTTCTGCACTTACAGAAACTGTACTTTGAACAGGTGTTGGTACTTGAGATGAATCAGGTGTAGTTATTGCGTTTGTACCCATTTGAGTAACTTGAATAGAATCACCAGGCACGACATTAGTATATCCCATCCCAGAATTCATTCCACTCGAATCGGTTAACTCCATTTGAATCTGTCCGTATGTAGCATATAGTGTTATGGAATTAACAAATAATTGAAAAATAAAGTTAACCGTTAATTTTCGAATGATATAAACAACTTTCATCTTGATGTTTAGTGGGAATAGTACTTTAATTTAAATGAAGTGAATTTATGAGCTCTAATCAGTGAATAAATTGTTTAGCCCATAATTTAAGTGATTGTGATTAGTGTTTATACGATGCATCAAATTTGAGATTGGCTGAAGGACATAGTGATCACAGTTCATATTGATTTAATTGTTAATTTAAGTCATTTTCTTAATATTAAACTCAAAAATGGAGATTTTGATTGTTCAAACAGGAGGTGAAGTCAAATTAAATTGTAACTGATACGCTTCCAGGTACAATAGATAAGTGTTATCCTAAAAATATTGGGGGTTATGCCTTTGAAATCGGCAATAGTTATGCCATGGAGATTTGCAGTAGATATACATTGCCGGATTACATAAAATTTCAACTCACCAAACCATTTTTAAAGGATAGCTTAGAAATCTCAATGGAAGATAGATCCGAACTTATTAATTTACTGATTGATACTCAGTTTGAGAAGGTAACATCCAAATAAGCAGTTAATAATTTTTCTGGTTATTGAAGATACTTATCACTCATGGAACGGATACAATGATTGAAACTGCACAGTATTTAACTAATTATGAAGAGAAACTTAAAAACAAATGTATTGTGATAACAGGTACATTGTCTAGTTTATTTTTTTGACGAACGTATTGAAAAGATTTTCTCCGTTGATTGACTTAGAGAATGTTTCATTTTTCTGCAAACAAGTGATTTTTGACATGTGCGTGATATATAAAGTTATTCAGGGATTGTGTTTCAGTTAGTGACCCATATCAACTTCAGATTCTATCCAAGTTTGCTAGAATATAATCATTATAGTAATTATTAGCACAAAAATATGATTTTCAGTCTAATGTGAGGAAAGGACATCAATAGGATGAACATTCATGATTTGCAACCCTTATTTACTCATATTCATAGAATGTAATGTCTTTTTGCTATGGATGATGAAGTTTACCTAGCAATTACGGTTTTGTACTTGGCGTTGTGATTCATATTTATATTAATGAGAATGAGTGCCTTCATCAACAATGTGCTGCTAAAAGGAAGGATGTACTCGATGTCTTCGAAAACACCACAAAAGTTAAATAATTTGACTGTTCATATTTTGAACCATACAGTCATACCTCATGTACGAGATAGGACCTGTTTATATTATGTTACAAATCGACAAGCTAACAGAGTAAGATTTTTTAAACATTCGTCGCATTTGTTAGTAGATCGGAATAATAACTGGGTACTATATATATAATTCAAGCTTCTGCAATGTAATTCTTTCGTTTAAAAGTGACGATACATATTGGCATCATACCTTATCTGTTCATTATCCATACAAGTATGTAGTGTCAAAGTGTGATTTAAATGCAGAGTAGTAGCTGACATTTCTTATTTTTTAAAATCATAGCTGCTCACTATTATCTAAGGCGTTGAGATTTCTTCTCATTTTGCTAAATGGCTCATCTCTTAGGAATAGTAATTTTAAATTTCTCTTCTTTGATAACTGAACTGTTCATTATAGATTGCATTGGATTTAAGATCAGTTATTTTAATAACTTAAACAAGTGTACTAATGTGGTATATCAATTTCACATGCGATGTCTCTTGATTTTCCACCAATATGGTCACTTCAGCCATGATTTGACAAAAATGTACATCCCCTATAATCGCCCCACTATCATCAGTCAATAAGATACCTAGAGAGAACAACAAACAATAACAGTACCGATCATACTGTTATGCTATTTCAAATATATATTTATACATCGAGTTATTTGCAGAGTGACTGCTAATCAGAAGAAACAAACTACCGTTTCGTTTGTAGAATTACATTTATTGAGATCTGTAGTTTGTTCGCTTAAACTGCATTAATTTAAGTAAACCTTATCAGTGCTGGAGAGCAGTACTGGTGAACTGACAACATGAGTGAAGTGTAAAACCCATACAGACTTAATTCTCCAGTAGCATTGTAAAAGAAACAAGCGACAAAACCCAGTCATATTAATTCTCAAGAAGTCCCATTTGTATACTCTTCACTTGATTTAGTCTTCGAGTTTTTAAAAAGTAATTTAAAATTTCTTAACTCGATTTACGTTACTAAAATCCACAACTTTTCGATCTAGGTGCTTTTCGACCCGGTGTATTCAAAAATACAGATGCCGACTTCAACGTAGCATTTGCAATTGGTGGACTGATAATGTCAAAGAAGCCAGGAATTTTCATAGCAATGCATGGTCAGTTCTACCAGCCAAGTGAAGTTGTTCGTGATGGAGAAACAGGGACTTTTATTCCAATCGGAAATGAAAAGTGACAGCCATCAGAGCATAACCTAGTATACAATTGTTAGATTCTAGTCAAACGTTCACCAGAGAAATCAACTTGCTACTGTTTTTATTTAAAATAGCATAGATTGATTATGAACAGCGAACTATCAATAAAAGTTTGGGAATTCTAGATGCACTTAACGAGATAATACATTTGTTTTTTTACTTTGTATTATTACTATCTTTCTTGATACTTCCATTTAAGGATATTTCTTAAAATCTGCTATTATCAGCATGGAAATTTCTCGTAGATTTTATGGGATAGTTGTCAAGAAGCAACATTTTGTGTTTTCGTCGCTTGTTTTTTTTTAACCTCTAGTTTGAGATCGAAATCACTTTTCATCCATAGATTTATTCTCAAATAGATATTTTTGACATCGAAAGGCCAAAAGTAACTTCTCGCATGATTCAGATAGGAACAATGCTTAGGAAATCTGAGTAAAAATGACTATTCTTAAAATTTGAAATGGTACTTCAAACAGCAGTAACTGGAATCTCGGTGAAACGCTTGACCTAAAACCAATCTTGAGAATGTTATTATAGCTTTAGCTATCGAGACAAACGACAATAGGTCACAATACTCAACTATTTGTTTTAGAGCATCAACAACAACTACATTAACTTGTTCATAAACGAGGTCAAAAGAAAAACAAAAGCCAATGGTGAAGTGCGATGCATATCATATATTCCATACAAAACTCGACACTTAAATGAATCGAAGAAAAAAGTGATAGTGAATAACTGGCGATGCAATTAAAAAAAGGATGAAACAAACTGGAAATCATCTATCATAATTTCGAAAATAGATTGAGTTTTAGATTTCGAAAGCGAACAAGCAGAAGCATAACAAACAAGCAAAAACAGTTAGAAAGTTTAAGACAACTAGTGGTTAGTGAAGTAAAGGGATGAAACTGAATAACGAGGTGGACAGAGAAAGGAACAGGAAAAAATTAAGACGGAAGAAACAAATATGAGTGTAACATCCAAACGGTAACAGAGGTGACGTTAAAGTATCTCGAATAAATAGTAATGATATTAGGGGATCAATAGCAATGTACTTAGAAAAAAACCTCCAACCGAACAATGTGCATGAAATTTTAAATATGTATGATTTCGTGACGTATGCAAACTAACACGTATGAATTCCATGATACTTACTTTGAAAACGCTTTGAAAGTGGCGTTGACGTCTGTCGTAAATAAGAGAATCTTGTCCATGTCATAAAAAAGTTACATAGCTTTGCAGAAGTCGGAAGACCTCAGAAAAATGACAGATACAATATCACAGGCTATTTGAGAAAGCAATAAATGAATTTAGTTTTGAGATGATGTGTTCTGAAGGCAGATTTTGAATGAATTTGAATAATTTTTAGTTTATACACGCAATAAAATAAAACTAAGTTGGATGTGTTTATATTATGGTTTGTTTGCGTATCGAGGCACTGGAAAATCGCAATATGGATGAATATGAAAGATTAGTACATTTCCAGGATAATTCCAAGCAAAAAGGTGCAACGGGTGACAAAGGATGATAACTATGAAACTCAAGTCAAGAATAAATCACAAAAATCATTCTAGATGAAGTAAGCAGGTACATAATAATAGTAGTAATAATAAATAATATCAAACACAACATTAACTAAAGTCAGTCGGAGAGAAAGACTATAAGGAAGACAAGCGAACGTTTGGTACGACCGGTCCGACATAAAAATATGACTGAAATAACTGACAACAAATGAAAAAAAATGACATTTATAGGTAGCTTTGGGTTCACAATGAAATGGGTGCGTTTGTTTCATTTGTATGATGATTACGTGGAATTATTTAAATATGAATGTGAATGTCGTAAATACGAATGGTCGAGTTTCCTATTATCTTATTTAACTGTGAAGAATAAAGGATGAGCAAACGTAGTAAAAAAACGATGACGATAATAATGATGAACGTCACGTCAAAAATGAAGACAAAACATGGCACAACACATGGTTCCATGTATAAAGAAAGAGATATAACAACTCTGTGACTTAAAATTCTTATTCTCCTTTGTAGAAGGCACACGAACAACAATACGTTGAAATAATATAGCAATATTAATAATTGGAAAGACAAGAAAAACGGGAAAATCTAAACCAAAATAAAAACACGAAATAAAAAAGCACTACTCACAATTATTTTTGAATTGCAAAGCCGAATAGTCATAATGTAGATGAGGATGTGCGTTGAGAGAAAAAGCAAGTTAAATTTTACATTAAGATAAGTGAGTGATGATGCAATGACAACAAAGACAATGGAGTCGAGGTATTTTTTTAGTGAGTATAGTATAAACCAAGTAGTAATAAATTCAAGGTTAAGTGCCACAGAAACATTTACACACACAAAGTTAGATGCCTATAAATGTTATAAATTCCATAAACTATTCGTTCGACTAGTGTCATTATTTATGGAAGCTGTACTACAACAAATTCCGTTCTTTTTATTATGCTCTTCACCTACACTCCCATCCGAAACTCGGCGAGGTATTAAACCATTAGCAGAACTATCAGTGACCACGCCATTCCGTTTAAGTGGTATTGAAATATTGGATATAGGAGATACAGCTCGAATCCCCAGAACAGGAGACTGGGTGGAACTTTTCGGATTTAATCTTTCACATGAAGTAATAGAATATAAACCTGTGGTTATATCTAAATTATGGCTTTCTACCGATCCACAAACCGTCGGATCAGATGAGGCGCAAAGTGAATCCTGTACGTTCAACTCTTTAATTACTGGAATGACCTCAATATTATTGTTAATACTGTTGCACGTTGTAACGGTTAAATGATTTGCGCGTGCGTGTGAATTCATACTAACAGGTTGGTACGAAGAGAATGAAGATCGCCTATGCGTGTAGATCTGACTGGGTTGAGAAGGGACACAATTCTGTATGGATGCTGCTGCAAGATTTCGAAAGTTGTGCAATGAAAGATCGTTAGAATGAAAACTGTTTGACAAAACTGGAGATTGCTGACCACCCGAGTCAAGGTTCGTAAATGATTTGCCTAATCCACTTAACGTATTGGAATTTACAGTAAAATGATTGTTTGAAGATGAATTAATCATCGGTGAAGAATTAATGCATCCAGTTAAGCTGGACATCGAAATAAAACCATATAGACTCAATACATCCATGGCATTAGCAATCTCGTCTGTTGCTACGTCAGAATACCCAGCACTTTTTAAAACACTACGTATCCCCTCAAGACCCATACCAGAATTAGGTGAAGAGATAGGTCTGGGTGGTCCATAAGTCGGCGAAATCCTAGCATTATAATGTGTCGCGACAGATCCTAAAAGGCTATGAGGGGAATGAGTAATAGTTTGGTGGTTACTTGAATGTGTACTAGCCACACCACGACCCATCAATGCTCGACCACCATTTGGAACTAATGCAGACGATGACTTGGCGTTTGGAGAACAGGCAGCAACTGCACTCATAGCAGCCATAGCAGCAGCAACAGCTGGAGAGGAACTTCCGCCGAAAATGGATCCAGAAGCTGGATTCGAGGTAGTTGGGCTTACAGGCGAAAGAGAATTAATATGAGGAGGTGAAAAGCTGGAATTTGAGCCTGATGCTGCTCTGAAATGCATATCTGAACCAAAACCCATTCCGCATGCAGGTAATCCTGGATGCGAGCCAACCGCTAAAGCATAAGGTGAGCCGGTGGGATAAGCACTTGCTACTGGTCCGATTATCTCGGAGTAAGATATATTTGGACAGCTGGACGATTGGGGATCCTCAGCAATCTTGCTTAAAATCAATGCTACAGCATCGCGTGTTTGCGAGAGTTCACCTGAATAAATTCGGATAAAAATTTATCAAGATCAACGGTGGGAAACCATATTTGAACAAAAGATTTTTAAAAAAAATAGTTTAAAATTATCTTGGAATTTATTCCAGATTTCGGAACTGAACACAAAACTAAAAAGAGCATAACAGTGATTTATACTGCACCACTGTTGACAATAGCTCCGCCTGTAGCTCTTCTAGAGTTACTGTCGGTCCCAAGCCCGGGGTAAAGGAGGAGGGTTGGGAATGGGGTTAGCGACCCCATCCCGTAGAAAACTAACTCGCTAAAGAAACGCTTACCAGAAAAAAATAATTCAAACCATTTAAACTCTGTACTGGAATTTAGAAGAAATATGTTGCCTCGTGGGGAAAGCCGAGTTCCCTCGGAAGCCAATGCCCCTTCTAAAAACCAGAGCAAAAATTTTTATAGGTACATGGAAGGTCCGGACAATGTGGGAGACCGGGAGGACCAGTCAAATAGCCACGGAAATGAGGAGATACAACTTGGCAGTACTGGTAATCAGCGAAACCCATTGGACCCAAACTGGACAACAAAGGCTAAATACGGGAAAGATGCTGCTATACTCCGGTCACGAAGAGGAAAATGCTCCGCACACTCAGGGAGTTGCTCTAATGTTGTCCAAAGTAGCACGGAATGCACTTGTAGGATGGGAGTCTCACGGATCCAGAATCATCAAAGCATCATTCAAAACAAAGAAGGAGGGGATCACAATGAATATTATCCAATTTTATGCACCCACCAATGATAGCAACGACGACATTAAAGATCAATTCTACGAGCGGCTGCAGTCAATCATAGAGAAGTGTCCAAGAAAGGACCTCACCATTCTAATGGGAGATCTAAATGCCAAAGTTGGAACAGACAACACCGGATATGAAGATATCATGGGACGACAGGAACTATGTAGCAGGAGTCTCTGCATCAGTAGGCCCCAACATACACAAGGGGAAAACCAAGGTCCTAAAATACAACACGGAGAACAGCAATCCAATCACTCTTGATGGCGAAACTCTGGAAGATGTAGAATTCTTCACATACCTGGGAAGCATCATCGATGACCAAGGAGGATCAGATGCAGACGTGAAGACGAGGATTGGCAAAGCAAGGGCCACATTCCTTCAATTGAAGAACATATGGAACTCAAAACAACTTTCAACCAACATCAAAGTGAGAATCTTCAATACCAACGTGAAGACAGTTCTACTGTACGGAGCTGAAACTTGGAGAACTACAACAACCATCATCAAGAAGGTACAAGTATTTATAAATAGCTGTCTACGCAAGATACTCAACATCGATTGGCCGGATACCATCAACAACAGACTTTTGTGGGAGAGAACAAACTAGCTTCCAGCTGAAGAGGAAATTAGGGAAAGACGATGGAAATGGATAGGAGATACACTACGCAAATCACCAAACTGCATCACGAAGTAAGCCCTAACTTGGAGTCCTGAAGGGAAACGGAAAAGAGGAAGGCCAAAGAACACTACGTCGGGAAACAAAAGCAGATATGGAAAGGATGAATAACAACTGGAAAAAGATGGAAAGGATTGCCCAGGACAGGGTTGGATGGCGAATGCTGGTGAGCGGCCTATGCTCCTTCACGAGGATTAACAGGCGTAAGTAAGTACTGTTGACAAGACAGGGAGGAAATCAATATATGAAATGAAATACCAAAATTAGCCACAAGTTATTGTGTCGACAAGAAAGGACGTGGAGTAGAAAAATTATATGCGACTGGTTCTGAGCTATATTAACATCTGACATGAAATATACTGGGGAATAATATCTCACACACATGTAGGTATGCATAAGGAAAAATTCGGCACAGTATACAGGTAGAAATGCTTAAATGACCGATGAAGACTTTGATGAATACTGAGGTCTAAATGATCATAATATCGAACATCGTTGGAATTTTGTAAACTTATTAATCTACTAAGTAATCTGAATTAAAGTGATACTAAAGCACGAAATCTTTGCTATTTTAAACAAATGGAACGACCGAATTTACTAACAACCATTTATTAGTAAATTAGTGATAGTTTCACGTCTATGAATTTGTTCAAACGCAATCTAAGATACCAACATTTGAGACACACATCATCACTTATTGATTAGAAACCAAAAAACGGCGTCTGATTAGTAAGAACGCACTACGAGCGATGATTCGATGCTTTAATAACTCAAATTCCAGATAGTGAGACAAATATTTGGACCTTAATAAGCTTTTTACCGAATCGACAGTGAACCACACAGAAATCGTAAGCTTTATAGCTTTATGTAGGAACTTTATGACTCCTTACTTATAAAAATTATTACCAAAGCGTATTTGTTATTTTTATGTGGTGATCTTACCTCCCCAGTAAAGATTCATTCAACCGTTTTTCTAGGTCTCGTTACTGCAAAGCCCAGTTGTAATGTGGTACGACGAAAAGCAATAGGTTTTATTAACCAAAATACAGAAAAATAACTTCAGTTTTGTAAGATTTATTTTGCTGCTTATCTTAGTGTTCAATGGTCGTAAGATAGCTTCAATGCATAATTAAGACATTCCGAGTTCGACCTATCACTTTTGATAGTTTTTAAAAAATATCATATTTGTTTAGCTACAGACTTTCTAACTGCATTAAACGTGAAGGATAGATGAAGAACCTAGAAACCGGAAGGTAGCTGGAGATCACTTAGAATGTTATCTAGTGTTTTACTTATAGCTTCAATCACTTTAGCTGAGAGTGAATCATTGTTTCAGCTTTTTCTAAAATAGCTTCATGAACACTTGACTTTTTTAATGCATGTTTCACCGATAAGTCTGAAAAACTGTTTATAATAACCTATTCTTGCTGAATATTCCAACTTTTTGCTTTTCTTGTCCACCATTGTTTACGATCTTTTCCCAGTCTACGTTTAAGTCGGCTTTGGTTCGCAATGTACTCGGAGATTAAAGGGAAAATTTTATGGATAGCTCATTAGACCACTTAAATTATTAGGTTTTTCTGAACTTTTCGGTTTAAGTTACTGACAGATGTTATCTCTATTTTCACAGCTGTTCGGATATCATGCCAAGCTAAATCAGAGTGAATAGCACCTACACAACTGATTAAGAGGTTCTCTAGTTCTTGAAATATACTCTTGGCTTCTTTATTGTTCAGCTGAACTCTAAGATGCATCCTTGTGGGATCCTTTATGGGTGCAATAAAACGCAGGTTAAATCGTGCATGCGATAGAGCACCATTAGAGGTTAAGGGGTCCTACTTTTACGAAGTCCTAAGTCCAAACCCCATTCCCCTACTTTGGTTTGTACAACCGAGTAGTATGACTGATCCTCACGATTAGAGTGTGGTTCAAAGTCATGTACGCATAGAAGCTATACCTGATGAGTTTAATAACATTAATAATAATAATAATATTAATAATAATAGTCTAAAAAGTGCTCAATAACAAATGGTAGTTTACTACCAAGCCACTCCAGCAATGGCTGATGACGATATGGTCCATTCGCATCAATCGTTGAGCTAATTTTAAGTGTCATCATGTCAGCCGATATCTTTTGCTATGTTTAACGTTGGTGGTTGCTAAAAACACCGTCGGTTACCGTTGTCTATTCGCTGAGTTAAGACAATGTGAGGCCCAAATAAATGTATTTTACTTTGGTTTAGACTACGTCCTTGGGGATTAGAGTACCATGATACTATGGGGTCCGAGAGAACGGCTATTTTGGGGGAGTAGAAAGTCTCCGTGAACCCCATTTTCTTTCATTAGAATGGCACTGCAGTGGGACCGTCAACAGAGACCTGTCTGTTTATCCTTCTGAGTTCGCAATGTCAGACAATGCACGAGGGACTACTCTTTGAACTTAGTCCCATGCCTATGATATCGAGGCTAGGAAAGGCAGTACTCGAGCCCCAAGATATACGGAGGAAAAACCGCTCGGACCCTTTAAACTGACCAGGTAGTCAAGTGAACGACGACAGTCAGATCCTGTACCCAAGCTTCGTAGACGAAGCATATATCCATAGTACAGGATTTTACAGTTATAGCTAATAAAGCTTTTTGTCCGATTTGATGTAAGGTTATAACAACGAAAACTTCAACATGTGGTTTAGGGCGTGAATTCAGGAGACCAGAAATAACACTTCGTGAAATCAAATAGTTAGCATTGGTGGTGAATAAGAATAGATATGAAACCATAGGAGTTGATAGTAAGAGTAGAAGGAATATTTAATGATTATGAACAAAACGATCTCGAGTGCTCTTAATGGTGTGTGAGTAATTCACTTGATGTTGCTTATTTGTATCTTCCCATTGTTATTTAGGACTGTAATTGGTCAGTATCTTATTTGCATATGTGCATCTTGCCTCGATATTGCCTTAATTCACAAGTCCCAAAAAAGACGAAACGCGCGTCCTGTATTTCACTGCTAGCCACTATCCATCTTTGCTTATAAAGCTTGTGAACCAAGACAACAACAAGGCAGTCCGTACAGGATGCACATATGCCAATAAGAGACTGACCAATTAGTCCTAAATAACACTGGAAAGATACAAGTAAACAACATCAAACGAATCAATGAGTAGTAATATTTCAAGTCAATATTAGCATAACAATTGCGGCCATGTATTATTATCGACATAATAATACACTAAGACAGGTTTTCTATGCTTTAGATGTATTTCACTTTGATATGATGCTACATATATGCATGACTAATTCGCGTACAGCTTATTACTGACATGTATATTGCTGAACTTAAGAAATCGACTGCAAATAATATCAGGCAAAAATACAGCTCGAATAGGTCATGTATTGTAATAAATAATTTTAACTTACTATCTACCATATAACAAGAATTAATAAATTTACCTGCGACAGTAACGCATCTTTCAGCCAAGTTAAGCTCCTTAGACTTCTGAGATACTTGAATGAATACCCCAGTTGTATCCTTCAACTCCTTGATAAAGCTACCACCCTTTCCTATTATCATTCCAGCTGTGCTGTTAGGGACCAAAATCTTGACCTAAAATAAAACCAACGTAATCAGACAATGCAGTGCCATATGCGATGAGAGTGAGTTTTACTATAATAGTCGGATAATAGGAATAAAAATAAATAACAGAACAAAAGTGAAGTGTTTCTTACGATCCCTATGTTCATGAACATTAATACCAGTCAAAAGTCATTTTATAAGATCTAGTAAGCGATATTGGTCAGCCTAATATATTTCTGGTCTGACATACGGGAAGAATACGAGTCAGCTCAGATTTAATCAGCCACAATGAACTGGTCAATTAATGTCTATTTCAATATACTATCTACCATCAGGTACAACATCAACTGCAGTTGTAAGTTGAAGAATAATCTGGTATAACCAAACTAACAAATGGCATTGACATGTAGATCAATGGTTCAATAGTTAAGGCGTCCGGTTTTTAATGAAATCCCATTTCTGAACCCCTTTGAGCCTATTGCGATTTGAACAATAAGATGGTACTACTAGCGCTCATACTTAAAATGTAGCTTACATCCAACGATCAGGTGAGTGAATGATTTATTATTTTTGAAACATCACCGTGTGAAATTCAATCTTAAAATAGTTTAATCCAATGCCGAAATACAAGTTAATGTTTTTCGTTATCGCTTAAACATCCTAGGTGAGGGTGACTGTTATCCAAATGAAAGTAGATACAGTGGAACTTGGAGTTCCTATCAGACAAGGTTTTCTAACTGGTAAGATTTGGCCGCATTCCTAATAAACAGATATATTGTTTTAAACAGTTACGAAACCCCACACCTTTTTAACTGGTATATAAGAAATTAGAGAAAAATCGGTAGTTAGAGCCCTAACAGGATGTGGCTTAAAATCAATCAACATTTTTACCTTGGATTTTTGTTTAAGAGATTACTCTTCACTTGAATACACCTAGCAACTCGCAGTAGCTAACAAAACAGTAATGTTCAGAAAGTAAAGTGTTGATTCGCATTCCCATGAGAATGTAGTCTTACAGTAAGACATGGATATAACTTCGGAGAATTTGGTAAGGCAAAAAGATTGGAGAATGCGTGAGAAAACAGAGAACACATATTAACGTTATAAATCACATATTACTAACAACTTAAGTGTATCAGTAAACTACAACTCAGAATTCATTAAATTCTGTTACTAAATGAACACAAAACAACTGTTTCAAAACTAGAAAACAGATTTACTGTTTGTTCTTGAAGCTGTATGTTTAACATGCATAAAAAAATTAAAGGATCAGTTTATCAACAGTGAATAAAACAATATAATTACTTGTTTATGTCTCTCAGTAAGTACTCGTCCTTCACTACCTGTTTTCGGTACAGATTCTGGTTTTTCGTATATTTTCTCGGAAATATACTGAAAAACACGTAATATACTCTCGATGGTTCCAACAATTAAACAAACTCGCTCAGTTGTTCCTAAAACCAAACCGGGTTATGAGTAAAACTGGAAACCATAGATGTACCGGGATAAAAGGCATTAGCTTTGGACATTTTTACTTTCGCTGAAGTTTGGTTTTGGATTTCTGTTATTGCTTCACCTCCTTTCCCGATGATTGCACCAGCAGCAATTGAAGGTACCAGTATTTTGAAATGTACATTACCTGAAAATCGAATGAGTGATATGCTTCAGGTTTATTTTGATAATGTGAATTTAAAGAATATACAGGACTACCCGTTTGCTACTTTGATGACAGAAAACAAGTTTAACGATGACTTAGAAACATTCTAAACCGCTGTAAGCAAATACAACATAGTTTTGGGAGCAAACCGAATATCAGTATTTCGTGAAATAAATTGTCGGGAGCGACACAAGATGGATTAGTAATGGTCGATATTTCCTTATATAAGTCTACAAATTAGTAACTGCATAACACAATACCCTCACTCACTAGTGACTTCTATGTTAAGTAGTGTGACCAAAGAACAGTAAGAGCTATTTTGATCTGCATCGTTTCCATGGAAGGTGTTTTTTCCTCGTTTGTTAAATACATCTACTTTTGAAATTGATTTGGCATATCCCATCAAGCCACTGGTAGCTGCTGCTAATCTTCAACCAAAGTTTTTAACGACTGGCCGAAATTTTTACGTTTATTAAGATAGTCGGGTGTATTGACTTGAGTTGAAAATGTTTTGTCAGCCGAAACTGTGCCCCAAACTTTGTTCTGGAGCAGAACGTAGGCTTCAAAGTTTCACATACAAAATCAAAAGCAGTTAAGGACTTGGTATATTTCGTACTGTTACATTCCAATTTCAGTTTGAAAAGAAAAGGAGTCTGGGTGGTCTCCCAGTTGATCCAACTTTTTTTTGAAAGGATCGACAGACGGAGCTTAAATCACGTGCTGAGCTAGTGAATTCCATTCGTATATGATTCGACGGGAACGTCGATAGTACACCTGACAAGTAATTTGTTCTGGGCTTGTGAACTTTGAGAGTCATCACTAGATAGTTTTTAGTACTTATTGAAAAGTGTAAAACATGAAACCGGAAAAAACGAATCTATTGTAATACACTACACGAAGAACAAAGGTATAATAGGATTTCAAATATACAACTACTAAGGCTGTACAATTCTCAAGCAAATGTAAATGAATAGCGTTAGCACACCTTTAGCAGGTTTTAGAATTATAGCATCTGATATTTTAGGTGGGGATTCTCCTTTAAGCTGAGGAGAGTCGTTACTGACTTCATCTACAATAGCTTGACCTGTGCCGTCTTCTTTGGTCATTCTAGTGTCATTTTACTTGAAAAGCGCACCCCAACTGTCAAGTCAGCAGAAAAATTCAATTGTTCACGAATCAACTACTTGTTCATTGAACACTATCTTCTTTAGTTACCTTTAACGAGCCAGTATAAATTAAATAGATTTCTTGAGCTTCGGCAAGAGGTTTTTGTTGATGCCTAGTGATATGTCTAATTAATGTAAATTACCGGATAAATAAGCTATTCTAGTGCGAGAATAGTTCTTCGGGCACCAACTTTCTCTGGAGATGTTGAGGCATGTATGTATTAATGTATTACGTGGTAGGTTATGGTGGATTGTAAAACATGCCAGAGGATCTGAATAATCTCGAACTCATTTGGTACTACGGTGACGTACACTCAGTGTTTTTTGTAACAACAAAATAAAAACCACATTTTTTCTTTAATTTGTCACACTTGATATGTAACCACATTTTTATTCAATATCTGTTGTCTTTCTGCATCACTTGTTAAAAAAACGATGATAATTGTTTCGATGAATGATATACGATTTTACTACCGCGTTGGTTAAAATATAAAATGCTATCTACGTCGTTTGTTCTTCTGCTTCATTGGCCACGGTTTTGATTGAAGACGATAATAGTGTTACAACATCCTTTTAGGCGCCGGTTATTATTATATAATGCTATTGGACTCCGTCTTCCTCATTACGCCATTTGTGCAGTCACTTGCAGAGGAATCCCTGTCAATCAAGTGAACTCAGTTTGTGGTTGTTGTTCTCACGAATCAGCTCACATGTAACATTCATTCTATAATAACTGTTATTATCTGTCGGTTTAATATACCCTTTGTATTTCTAACTGTATTTTGTTACTTTTGGTTTTAATAACAGACAGACATCTAGGGTTTTTACTATTAACTTTCTTGGTATATTCTTATTAAACTAGTATATCGATATACCTTTTATAAGCTCCTTTTGTTGGGAACCACCACAGTACGCTGAAAAATGGATGACATATTCCTTGCAAAAATCTTACGACAGTGATCGCAAACTAAGCATAATTCCTCAAACTACAGATCTTTCAACATTTAAACTCAGGCATGTGAGATGATTCCGCTTCGAAACCAGGCTCAAAGGGCTATTACAAACAAAAACTGTATTTATCCTAATAACATGTAACTTGTAACTACTGTCTCTATTTATAAGAATGTCTTAGAATATATATCTATGGATTGTTTACAAACGATCGCAAAGTATTAAGTTCAGAGTATGGCTGATGTCGTTAGAAGTGAGGTTTTATTGCTTACAAACTTAGTTGTCGAATTATTTCATCCCTTTACAAAACAAATTTCTATACTAAGTGCGGAACCGTTCTAGATACTGAAATCCTTTTTTACTATTCGATCTATTATTCAAAATAACTAGATTATTTCCACGAGTTTCATTTGACAGTGTAAGCGTTATTACTACTCAAAAACATATTCCTGTCATAGTGACCATAAACTAACTGTTTGTCACAACAGGAACAGCTTTCTGATGGTTATTGACCCAAATATTCTCGAGTCACTAGGCCTAGTCAGAATTCACAATTGATTGTTGTCAGCCATTGCTAAATCAGCTGCCAACTTATTTAGTACATTATCCTCCTAAATTCTGCTTCTGAGCACCTATACAGATGTTTGGGTCAGCCCGCCTTAGAATAACTATTAAACGATAAATACTCGATCGCTGAAAAAGAACGATAACTAGCATCACGTAAGATGTCTTTGAAAAAACTACTTGTAGAAGAATATTTTTACATGGAAATAAAAGATCAATTACATCCCAGAGTGTCTTGGCAACTACACTCAGGATATGCCCACTAAGAAAGATATTCCACCAAAATTCCGTCGTTTACCTAGCCCTGTATGTTGGTGCAACAGTGTTCTTGTTGAAATTGTTACTTACTTACTTACTTGTGCATGTTAACCCTCTTGGAGGAGCATAGGTCGCCCACCAGTAGTTTCTATCGAACTCAGCCCGGAGCGATCCCTCCCATTTGTTATTAGCCCCTTTTGCGCCTGCTTTTAATTTCCAGCGCAGTGTTTTTTTTGGTCTTCCTTTTTTCCGTTTGCTTTCAAAATTCCATGTAAACACTTGCCTCGTGATGCAGTTTGGTGAGTTCCGTAATGTTTTTCCTATCCACTTCCATCGTCGTTTCTTAATTTTCTCTCATCTGGAGTCTGGTTTGTTCTCTCCTACAGTTGACTGTAGCTGATGTCAGGCCAACAAATATTGAATATCTTGCGTAGACAAGTGTTTGTAAACACTTATAGTTTTTTATGGTGATTATGTTAATTCTTCAAGTTTCAGCTCCGTACAGTAGAGCTGTCTTGAAGTTCTCGTTTAAGACTTTGATATTGGTCGACAGTTGTTTTGAGTTCCATATTCTGTTCAACTGTAGGAATATTGTCTTTCTTTTGACAATCCCAGCGTTTACGTCTGTATCCAGTCCTCCCCTGTTCATCGATGATGCTGCCCAAGTATGTGGACGTTTCCACTTGATCCAAAGATCTGTAACAGCTTAGGTTGGTTGGTTAAGAGTTGACCCCAAACAACCAAGCATATGCCAAAACAGTACTGTCCAAGTATTCATTCACTTCCTTGTTTTGTATAAGCGTTATATTCCCTATTATCTTATATTGATTGTTGAGAGCCTTTGTTTGTCTGAACAGACAATCCCACGCTCCACTGTGACCGCGCTAAGATCGAAATAAAGACCTATTCACTACTTGTCTGGTTTCTTCTATCAATAGCACGAGGGTTACTTTAAGACACGAAATTGGTGAGCCCTTTTTGAACACAAATTTAACCTCATTTCTGTTATTAACATTTTTTTTACTTGATCGTAAAAGTAGACCTGATTATCCGTAAACTAATTTGAGTATATAACTAGTTTATTCCGTATTATCTTAAGTTATTCGTGTTATAGTAACCACTTTTTGTGCTAACTTTATTGCTATATTTGTCACATACCTCATGTCAGACTCAATAGAAACCCATATTCTGGAGAATTTGTCACCAGTGGAGATAGACACTGTTATGACTACCAAATCTCGACTTCCAGAATTTGATCGTAGTGATCCTGAGTTGTGGTTTGCTCAACTTGAGCATTATTTCACGAGACACTGAAGGGATTCGCTATAGAGACTTGTGTTCTATCCTTCCTCCTTCAGTCGCCAAAGAAGTCCGTGACTTGATTTTAAGTCCACCATCACCACAACCATACACCATATTAAGACGAGAGATAATGAACCGTTTATCATTATCAGATAGTCAAAGAATCCAAAGACTTTTTCAAGGTGAAACACTAGGTGATCGGTCGCCGTCACCGTTTTTACGTCACCTCCAAGTCTTAGTGGGTGATAACACAGTGGGTGAAGCAGTCCTAAAGCAAGGATGGATACAAGCTCTACCATGCTACGTCCAACACTATTTGGATGCACAAGATCCTGAAACCTCATTATCTCATTTAGCGCGTATAGCCGACAGAATAATGGAAAGAGGTCCTCCAACTGGATCAGGCACAATAAATCACACACAAAAAGTAGAATCAGCAAAAGATCCCGTAATAGAAGGACTCATTGCGAGTGTTAAGAGTCTCACTGAGGCTGTCACCAGAATGCAAATGGGTCATAGAAACAGGAGCAGGTCACCACAACAACCACGATCCAAGTCACAAAACAGGTCACGAATGTCCAGACAATCTGGGCAGTTTTGTTGGTACCACTGGAAGTTTGGTGTCAACTCAACCAAGTGCATGCAACCATGCGCCTGGCCTAAGCATAATTCTAAGACAGCGGGAAACGAGTAACCCCTCCCCAGGTCGCGACGACTGAGGAGGGGCGCCTAAACAGTCGCTTGTTTTATGTTAGAGACAGAAACTCTGGCTTGAATTTCTTGGTGGATACTGGCGCTGCTCTTAGCATCATCCCTCAAAATAAAACTGAGATTAGTCGAGAAACATCATCAATTACACTTCAAGCTGCAAATAAAACTAAAATCGCGACATTTGGGCAGAAAAATTTAACCCTAGATTTGGGGTTCAGGAGGCAATTCCCTTGGGTTTTCACGGTAGCCGACTTAGATCTGGCAATACTGGGGATGGACTTTCTAGAGAGATACGAATTTCTAGTTGACACCAAGAAACGGCGATTAACACTAAAAGAAACTTCGTATTACACAAAAGGCAAAGAAAGTCACATCAGCTCTCTTAACTTGATTCAAACTCCTCCAGTAACAACAGCGAAATTCCAAGATATACTCGCGGAATTTCCAAACTTAACTAAACCAAACCCACAGCCTTCTAAAGACAAACTAAAAGTGAGTCACAGTATCAAAACCGAAGGTGCACCGGTGTTTGCAAAACACAGGAGACTAGCACCAGATAAGCTCAAAATCGCTAGGGCCGAGTTTGATTATATGCTACAATTGAGTATTATCCGTCCCTCTGATAGTCAATGGGCATCCCCTTTGCATATGGTCCCAAAGAAGAATGAAGGTGACTGGCGACCGTGTGGGGATTACAGAGCCCTAAACCGTCAAACCGTACCAGATAGGTACCCAATACCTCATATCCAAGATTACACCAACGGTTTACAGGGTATGAACATATTCACTAAAACTGACTTAGTCAGGGCATATCACAATATCCCGGTGGCTGATGAAGATATTCCCAAGACACCCTTTGGCTTATTCGAGTTTGTACGCATGCCATTCGGCCTGAGAAATGCGGCACAGACATTTCAAAGATTCATAGATAACCTACTTCGAGGTATGCCATTTGCGCAGGGGTATATAGACGACTTGTTAATTGCCAGCCCTGATTTGCAATCACACGAACAACATGTACAAGCAGTGTTGAAAAGACTGGATGAACATAGAATAAACATACATCAAAGTAAGTGTGTTTTCGGTGTTCAAACTTTAGAATTCCTCGGTCACACAATAAGCCCAGAAGGGATTAAACCTATCAAAAAAGAAGTGGATACCATCAAACAATACCCCGTACCTAGTTCTCTAACACAACTGAGAAGTTTTTTAGGCCTAA